TTTACCTAATTTTACCCCCTTTTTCTCCCTCCTGCCTTCGGCTCAGGCGACCTAAAAACTTACCAATCACAGGCTGATCAAAACAAAGGAGCAACACCCAACTTCATTACAATATACTGTTATGCAATCTCGAAATTGTTTAATGTGTATCAAAGGATCAATATATACTTTTCATCTTGTCCACAAGATGTTGCACATGGATCCTTCTATTTTGCATTGACAAATCCCCGAGATGCACAGAGTGATAGTGATTGTAACACCTGGAGTATCGAGGATGGTAACGTTGATAAGTATGTATATAAAAAGATTTAGTCATTAAGTTTTTTCGCACCTCTCACGTCGCACTACGCTGTAGTCAAATTGTGTATTATAATCTTCTAATACACACAAAATAAATGACACAGTTTATATGTTTATTATTCAATTCAAATTCATACATCACATCAATGCTTCACTACAGACTCTCTACACCTAAACAACAACAATACACGTCATCCCGAAGTCAGATATACTATATTCCTATAAAATCTCATAAAAAATGATACAATCTGTAAACAAATCATACTGCTTGTGTAAATTAATAGTACCATTCTTTAAATGAAAATAAATTTTAAATATAAAATTCAACACATTGGATACATTAGTTTAGCGAGATCAAAATAACGATATGCACTCATGAATATCATGACCCAAAATAAATATGTATGTATCTGATTAAAAATAGATGCAATCCAATAACTAGGTAAAGTAACAACAGATCTGTACGCTCTTCCTTTGAGATATTAGCAATTGAAAAATCAAATCTGAAAGCAATCAGTACAAAAGGAAGCACCGTGTGTAAACCAGTTGATATAAGAACTTGAAAAGATACTACTATTATATAGCAGAAATAAAACAGCACATTTACGTAAGCATGCTGTCATTGATTTACAAATCAAAGCGTAAGCTTCTTCTATGGTTATTTGATATTTTGTAGACAGAAAGAAATATAAATTAATCTCAGATACTAAATACATAAACAAAGCAATTAAACCACTGAAGGTTTTAAAATATTATAAAATTAAATAAAACATGGTCCTTACATCAATGATAAATATCATTTATGGAATGTACTCCACTATATCCATAATACATAACACATGATCATCTTTCTAGTTCTACGGCAGTGTATAATCATGGATTTAATTATTGTGAAACAATGTTAGGAGACAGTTGGATTTTCAGACACAGGACTTTCCATTTTCCCAGTCCCATCTAGTTGGTGGCATTAATTATGGAAATCCTATACTATCCTATCAGAACACTGGTTAGACTCGAGAACGATATTCAAAAACAAATCAGCTTACATTGTAGAATCATCACATTCACCGACAATTTTAAAGCACTGATGACATAGGTCTTAAGTACCCCGCCTCTCTTTCTCTCTCTCCCTTCCCCTCCCTCTCCCTCCCCATCCCCTCTCCCTCCCCATCCCCTCTCTCTCTCTCTCTCTCCCTCTCTCTCTCTCTCTCTCTCTCTCTCTCTCTCTCTCTCTCTCTCTCCCCCCACCAACACACGTATTAACAAACTTTTTTGGGGGTACAAGAAGAAAAACACGCGAAACAACAAGCATATTTCACTCCTTGAATATGAGATTCGGGCATCACAGTCTGAACGATGAGATTATTTATTTGGCAAGCAAGATCAAAGATTTTGTGTTTTTCACATAATCATCTTCCATGATTGTTGATACCCCTTCATCTCACTTATAAAGGGATGAACGACTATTTTTCTCTGGCTTTCCTGACATTTCTATATTATCCCCACAAGTTTTTTTTATCAACAAACTTTTTATCATTGATGAGATGCAAAGAATATATATGTTTGTGTTTCCTGCAGCTCCTACATCAGATATTAAACATTTTGACAGGCTGAAGTTTTGTGTTGATCTGTCAGCAAAAATGTCTAATGTCTGGTTTATTGCAGTCAGGGGAAAGTCAAAGCAAGCAAAGGTCCATTGGAAAAATAATGGCTTATCTGTTTTATATATTCAACAATAACAGCCAGTCTTCGACAGTATTTGACTGAATAACTAAGATGTCTTGGAATAATCTTAATATCATTTGGGGAAGTTTTAGCTAATACAGTATTTACATACACTATATACTAACAAGGGAAGTTTACGAAAAATCAACAAAGGGGGAATAACTCAGAAATGCGACACTCCGGCATCTCTACACATACATGTGTACGAAAGTATGGTGACAATAGACCAAGGACTCACAAATTTATGGCCCTGACAAGGAAAGTTTACAACGGACGGACGTACGGACGAACGAACAGACAACGCCATACCATAATACGTCCCGTATAAAAACCAAAAACAAAGGAATCAAATTACACATATAGGATGATCCAGTGATATTAGGAATGGACAGATCTATATATCTCAAACTTGTTGGTGGGGAACTTACATCAAAAACTTATGTAGACACACCAAGATAACCAATAATAATCTAACTGCAAAAAAGTAAACCAATAAGTATATCATAGATATCAACTTCAATTGAAAATAAATCACAATATTCTAAATAGTTTTCAGTAAAATGATACAATTCAAATCCTTCAATTCTAACCGATTTTTTGGTCAAGACATTTTTTTAATTTACACAGGCAAAATTAATAAAGCATAATGTTTACCCACAAAACTTCACAGAAAATAAATTCTTTTCCATATAAGATCAAAATATGTTTAATGTTCCAAGGAGGCCTAGGAATATGATTTCTTTCCAGTGACAAACAAATGAAATTCTTCAAAATGGCAAAAAAATTGTCCTACCTTCAATTTTGTTTAAGAAGTTGTAATGATTATTTTATTCACGGAAATAATTTCTTAATGAATTTATCACCACTGAAAACATATTTGTGCATAAAGGATGATACTTGATAACTATTAGACATAAATCAGAGTCAAACTTAATTTTGGGGATACTTTTAAATAACCAATATTTATATAAAGATATATTACTTATCATCATGTTTCCTTGGTATTAATATTATTGTAATATTTTTTAATATTACACATGAAAAATCAGCTTTAGGTAATGAAACCATGCCACACACTCATAGATCATATTGTGATGTGACGATGGAGACTACAGATATAAACTAAAACCATTTTGAGTTTGACAGAGAAGAGTCTGTTTTCTATAAGATTTGCCTGATTAATTGATCATGGGATAACAAAACTCCTCAATTCTAATCCATTTGCATGTGATTTAAGAAACCTATTGAAGTTTTTCTTCTTTTTTTTTCATTTATGTCATTTTAGTATTTTAGTGCATTAGAGTTTGGCTATAAAATTCACAAACATTCATACCGTACTCATTTCCCAATCCACATATCTACAAGAAACTCTTTTAGATACCATACTTGTTACAGTACATTCAACTTATTTACATATTCACTGTAATTGGGCATGGTGTTGCTATTTTCAGAATATACATATCACATATATTTTTGCTGTATTTGGTATTTACAGACAAAAAGTATAAATTCATTGAGAATTAATTTCTGATTTATTTACTATAATAAAAATCCTAAATAAGAGTTTAAATAAGGGAATTAGTTTATAGTAATGAACAAGGTATTTGACCAAAATTCACAAAATTGCTATTATATTCATTAAAGTTTGAAAACATTTCCACACTGAGGAATTATTTTGGTGTACATCATTAGACACGATTTAGTGTCATGTCATGATCAGTATTCAGTAAACTAACAACAAACTGTATAAGTTTTGATAGTCTGGATTTTCAATAAAAATTGCAGAATAAATAGAATACAGTCAGTGTCTGCATTTTGGGTTAGGACAGAAAGAACAAACTGGCTCACAATAGCCTTAATTAACCATCAATAAATTAAGTTAATATTTTAAGACACTGACTATATATTACCTCTGTATCAGTAACTGTATACTATTCCTGTAAATCAAATCCATTGTACCGGTAGGTACATTTTACAGGTCAAATACACAACTCCAGAATCTTTAAATTCATTGTACAAAATTTTTGAAAGTCTGAGAAAAAGTCTGAAAATATTTCTCTAAATTTTAAATTAATGAAGATTCTAAACATGGATGTTATTTAGTATTTATCATTTCAATTTAGTTACATGAAAAATTGGACATACTGATCATCATCTTTGATCACAGATCTGCTTGATGTGTGTAGACAAAATTTTTTTCTGCTACATTAGAATTAAACGAACAAGTAAACCGAACTATCTACAATACACAACATATGATGGCTGCCTATCACAAAATGGCTTCATAGTATGACCATAAAGAAGCCAGGAAAAAAAGGAACCTCATGAAAATTAAACATTATATTCTCCTTACGGATCCAAATTTTTTATAAAACACATTCTTCAATCTATCATCACCTTGGCTTGTTAATCAGTATTTTCTCCTTAAGGATCGCAAACGTGATCACTGATATGTGTATAAATATACATTTATTATGAGGAGAGTTGTCAATTATTTAATCAACCATTACCTTTAATCCTTATTTTATAATCATATCCCTTAAGATCCACCTGCTGACCAACATTTAAGGTTAATTGGATAGTGTTCTTCAAGGAAAATTATTGAAAATGAAGTGTGACCGGACTGCCAAATGCTACAATACTTTTCTTTTCATTATATGTGTGTGTGTGTGTGTGTGTGTGTGTGTGTGTGTGTGTGTGTGAAAACAAACCACAGATCAACTTTGAACTTACAGCGGAACTCTTTTTTGTGATTATCTGTTTCTATAAGAAGTGTTTAACTTAATCTTTATGCATATAATAACTAGCTAGTTTTTAAATCTGTTTAAATGAGAAGTATAAAATCTTCATGCATCTAATGCAATTTCTATATGAATGCAAGCTTATTAAGGCACAAAATAATTTTACATCAGTATTTGCCACTAAAATACATATACGATGTTTTCCTATATTTGTTATTTTCGAAAACCTCGAGTTCATGAACATGCTGGAGCACTTTCAAAAATCATAATCACATTGACTAATATATATGTTACAATAGCACCAACAACTGATCCCATCTGAGTCACAGCCCCACACCAAAACAAAGCTTTCTTTCCTTCTCTCCTGAAGAGCGTTGCTATGGAAACCTTTGAAAAGGTCATCAGTGATGTAAAAAGGACCCAGGCCAAAACCTGAAACAAAACGATAAAAAAAATTTCAATAAAATACTTCAGAACACATAATGAAAACTCTTAGACTTAGTTTATGCAGTTTCTTGATTCATCTTCCATCTTCACTTTTCACACCTGCCACACATATTTAATTTTGAAGTGACGAAACATCATCTGTATTTTACCAAGTTCATTGATTGGACAGAATTACTTTCTCAATTTACTTGAACATGGCGTTTAACACTATAAATAACTGTTGGAATCAGTGATTTGATATGCTGTAATCAACAAGTTTATTTATTATTTATGAAATTTATAAAATCTGTCATATCCGTTTAAGTTTGGAGCTATATTTCTTTGCGGAACAATTACTTTGATAAATGTCATAATTTTTAAAACAAAATTCAGCGAATATCAACATCAGGTAAACAGATATTGAACAATAAAACTGATGAAGTTCAGATGGTCTGATTTTCAATCAATCATGCAGGACACAGGATATCTCAAAAAATAACTTACCACTATGGCTGCTCCAGTTTCACTATCTTGGAACAATGGTGTGGGACTTTTGACAGCTGTCACCAATATAAAACCTGCCAAGCATGTTCCTAAGACAGTGAACACATTGATGACAACACAGGTGGCAACTGGCAGTAAAAAGGCTATAAAACAAGCCAAAGGATTTGCTATACTTGATAATGTAACAGCTAAATGGTAAGCATTGTTGCCATAGGGGAGACAGGAATAGGTCTGGACAGAAGGCAACACACCGTTACTAAAAGCGTTGATCCATGCAGTGAGAACCAGGTAATAAAAATACATTTCCTTACGGAGTGACTGAACAGGCAAAGTGTAAGAACCATCTGGGCAAATAGTAAGACAGGGCTTCTTCTTACTGCTCAGGACCAGTTCAGAATTGGAATGACCTACATTTGTGGGATTGTTGTCGCTGTTCTCCTGAGTGTGATCACTGGACAGTTCAATATGACCGTCACTGGTGCTGCTAAGACTACTGGCTTCTTCTTTGTTTTCCATGACGTATTCAATCACGTGCTCTCGCTTGCAGATAGGAAGTTTATTCAGCGAGGTAAAAGCTAATCCACTCATTATCATCATTGCAAAAAGAAAAAAGAAGAAATCCTTCACTGGAAATGAAGGTTCATGATATATTGCTTGAATTTCGTAATAAGAAATATTTGTTGTCATGTTCACAACTGAAACATTTTCGCATGTCATTTTCCCCACTCCCTGTCCAAGGGCAACTATACTAGGAATTAATCCACTCAAACCCTCTCCAATGAAATACCCCGTCATATACTCGACTCGAAACAATGACATGAATGGCAAGAACAATACCGATGATGTACAGTCAACACAAGCAAGGAAAAATTGCAAAATCAGCAATGCTGTGCTATGCTCCTCTCCCACAATGTATGAAGTAGTCTGCCAAAAATACGCTAGAAGTAGGCAAGCTATTGTACCAACTGTGAGAATAACGTACACAATAACCTTCTCATTCAAGGAATCCTTGGAACATGTATATGCCAATATAACAAGAATTGGTCCAATATTGGCTAGCTGGATGATCACAGTCAAATAGGAAGGCAATTTCCAGCCCTCTGGTAGATGTGGAACCATCACTGGAAGCTCTACCCATAATCCATTTACAGCAACCCAAGATCCGACACCAAACATGGCAACAACAAAATACACAAAAATATTGATTTCTCCACATCTCAACAGATTCTTTCCTTTCCCCATATTGAACGGCTTTGGTCTTGTTGTACTGCAACATACAATGTATATAAATTAAAAGGTCTATTAACCTGCATATACTAGTACAATTGTATAGGGAAAATTAATAAATGTTAAAATGATATGCAATTATAATTACAATTAAAACGCCAAAAAATATTAAGAGCTTTTTTTTCCATTTCATTTTTTTCATGAATAATTCAATTTTAATTAATCAAATGATCTCGTACCATACACCATTATACGTTATCATAATAGCAATAATAATTAATGTATAGAGTATGTGTAAATGATTGGGACCATGTTCGATGAACTAGCCATGGCTTTGTTTTTTTTATTCGGTTCAACCACAAATCAAATTAGGCTAGGTCTTTTTTCCGTTTAGGTAAATTATACACGTACAAAATACTGATTAATGTTTACTTAAGGTCTCGTTTTACGGCTAGTCATTTATCTTTAGCGTACATATATTGTCCTTACATATAGTTGTAAAGGAGTTGGTCAGAGTGGCTTGTGTTTAGAGCTTTAAACACTCTCTAGATTTGTCACTCTGCTGATGGCGCATACTTCTTTGGTTCAGTTGGTAGAGCTTTGGATTATCATGCTGAATACCTGAGTTCAACTCCTGTGTGGGCACTCAGCAGGAATGTGAATATTTTTACCTTTTCTATTGTAACACAACATGGCATATACATATTTCTCCCATCCAGGAATTAACTCAGGTCTTCGGGGTGATAATCGCCCCATTCCAGCAATTGAGCATACAAGCCACACAGACCTATTCCCATAACACTTCTCCACCTGTTTTTCTTCAGATTTCCTAAATCTCAACCCAAGACTCAAAATACCTCAACTTGTGAGATTTTGTTGGGTGCCACTGTAAAAGAGCTGTAAGGCTAGTATAGCGTATTGAATCAGTACAATTCAGAAATAGTTTTAACTTCAGTTTGGAAGCGATTGCAATTATTTTCTGTGTGAATTGATATTAAATTAATTTTCATATTTGAGATTCTCATTGTCATTAATCAGATTATGAGTTTAAAGTAGTATTTTTGTAAACTCCTGTATAGTCAGTATAGGTAATGTTTACAAAAGAGATTATAATAGGCAGCGTAGGTAACAGGTATATACTAAAATACGGAAATAGATTTCAACTTGCTTAGCACTTCCGGTCACAAACCGGAAGTGGTCGATTGTAAACAACAACACGTGTTGTCTGTCAGGTCACTCAGGTCTCATCAATATGCTTAATTTATTAACTGTATGTTGTATATTTTTCTTTTATATTTTTATGGTTCAGATATCTCTTGGTATTTTAAATAATAATTTGTTCATGGAAATTTTATAAGGTTAATTTAACTTTTGGCTTTGTATTTTTCAATTTTCAATTGATTGTACCAATATTATTCTTATAAAATTGTAAAAAAAAAAGGGGGGGGTGTCACTCTATACCCTGACCACGGACAAATAAAGACGAAAGAAACTTAACCTCTGACTGTCTGTTTTCTCAACAGTATCTGCCGTATACATCTACCTCATAATCAGCGACCACGCCGCAATTAGGATCATAAAAATATAATGTGGCAGACAGACTGTCCAGGTTTCCGCACCAACAATTATATTATCAAGTTGTTATTAATAAAGTACGTTTTTGATTAAAGTTATGGAAAGTAGTAGTTTTGTAAGTCGTGTTCAGTAAAGTAATTAATAAGTGTAATTAGTTTAGTCTGCGTTAATTGTCCTGTGTCACTGTCTACATTTGTGTTGTCAATTGTGAAGTGCCATGTGCTTGTGTTTATGTCCTTTGTCCTGGCACCTGTGACCTTCTACATTAACCTCTACCTGTCATGTGACCACATTCCTCAAACCTGTTTAACACCTGGTACATGCAGTCGGGACAGTTACTGCCCAGACTAAGCACCTGGACACATCAAGCATATTCCATATCAGGTTGACTAGATCAGATATCATATTTAACCATTACCTAAGCAAGTAGGGAATGGAAGCATTGTCGCCTTGGTAGAGGTGTTATTTTGTCAGAACTCAATAAACCTGTGAACTTGAGATGCTCAGTTGAGTCGTACCTCATCCCAAATCCCCACCCGTTTCATTGGTGCCCAACATGGGGCCCTAGAACATTACTTAGCCATGCCCCACCAGCATCGCTGTAACCCCTGGAAACTCGAGGACAAGTTATTTCCTGGAGGGGGAGTATGTAACCCTGGTAAAGTGCTATCCGCAATATACCACTCGGCTCGAGAGAACTTCTCTTTGGCTTGATTGGTTGAGCATCTGACTAGTAAACCAGCGTTCCCTGGTTCGATTCCTAGCGGAGGCATTGAAATAAATAATGACCTCTGTTGCATTGGCGCCTAACGTGGGACAGAGGCGCTGGAGTTCAGTCCCGCAGTAAGTGACTGAGTAAAAGATGAAATCATGAACTTAAACCAGCTTTTATTACAAGTAGAATAATTGATCCGTATCTGAAAGGAATCTATCTTGCACCTATATTGTGTTATCATAGACGCAAGTTTAGCTGACAGCAACTGTTAGCTTGATCAGTGATCGTTACCACTGCAAACGCTGCTGAGAAAGGTTATAAAGACACAGTATTTCCCGTCTTATCCTACTTTCTAACTTTATTGATGTGTGATTCCTGTCACCGATATGACATCTTGTAAGGTGACGCGTAAACTTGCTTGCTCATCGGAGACCTGGGGTTATGACTACCACGTGTGTATGTTAACGTCAAGGTAATATCGGAAGTGCAAGCTTCAAACCGAAAGTAGGAAACACCCAGTGCGTTATAAACATTCCACCTAGTTACTTCGGACTATTGCGACTATTTGACATCGTGTAATCCATCCAGGACGACAGTAACGTCAGAAATACCATATTAGACTTGAATCTTTCCATCTAAATGTATGCAAACCATTATGTTTGCTGTAGCAGTTTATTTTTGTGAATTCAACTTTTTTTCTACACTGGTTAGTTGTAACGGGACCGATAGCATTTTTCATACCTGGTGTTATTTAGGGGTTCAGCTCTGAAGTGTGTGTCTTACCCTCTACTTTATTAACAGGCTGGTATTTATTCTCACTCTCATCTTATGTTTACATGTTCAGTGTTATATATTTGATCTCGTTTTAAATGTTCAGTGTGAATGTGTATTGGTTAACTTCCAGTGTGCCAATCATTTTATATTACAACTTCATTTGACTGCATGTATATATATGCGTTCCATTTCAGCCAGTCTAATTAGTGATTGCAAGCACTGTGACCTGCAGTACAGTGTATCACTTGGTAGGGTTATCTAACCTGAAGTTTAGTACTCATCAGAAAACCATAATGGACCCTTACCTGGTAAGGGGAGGTAATCATTAAGGTGCTCCTTCAGGACAATGGGCGGTAATTCCTACAATTTTGTTTTCCTTGTTTTTCTCTCATATTCCATTTGCATTTTATTTTGTTTCAACCGTGTCATTTTTTTTACATCATTCTTGAGTTGGTTACATTTGTTTTTCTTCTCTTCACAGCTAATGACTCGGATTGGACTTTGTTTTCGTATTTGTTTTTTCATTGTTGTCTGAAAACATTTTAACCATCAACCTAGCTACTGGGAGTCAAGGGCAGGTGTTGAGGACGGTAATCCTGCTATATCTAAGGAAGAATCTATGAAGGAATTCTTTTATAAACTTGGAGTAAATCTGAAGACTACCAATAAGGAAGAACTACAGTCGAGGATTGTTACTGAAACAGGAAGGTGTACTAACTGCTGGTGACCCCGATCCCCCACCCCCATACATCAAGGAAGAATATAGTAGCAATGCTAGTGATGATTCTAAAGAGGAAAACCCCACTGTGCAGGTAAACCTAAATCAGAAATCATGGATTGCTTAGTTCAACGGAACCAATTAGAATGCCTATACCGTCTGACGACATCAACTCCTTAGCCTTGTACAGGAGAAACACAAGGAACAAGACATAATGGATACCCTCCATTCATCCCACCAATATAAAGCGGCTAGTGTTTGCTGGGATTAAGGGCAGGCCTTCTGTTTACATGTGCTTGACCTCGTGCAGAAGCAGTGCACTCTACCCCATTCGCTGAATAAGATGCATCACGGATTTGGCCTTGTTAAGAATGGGGATCATCGAAGCGTTACCATACATCCTAACCAACAGGTAGTGGTGACAGGATATGTCGACAAGCCTCGGCCATAACCGAAGTCTTGTGCCTTGTTACAGTCCTGTAGGGATTCAGCCTGGGAGCCTGACCTCAACATTTACCGTACTGTTGTCAACTACCACTATAGAGAGATGGGACCAGTGCCGGTAAGTATATCTTATCTCTCGATGCAGACCGTCACTATAGCGCCAGGTGCAGTGTTGTGTGAACTACAGCCTGTAAACATTGAGAAGTTAGAGCCTCCAGCAGACTTAGTGAAAGACAACTCAACTTTGACAACTTTGTCAACAAGATTGACTTTACCCAGGGTACCAAGGTCATTTCGTACTTTGATGATATTCTCTCCCATGGTGATACAGATATTGGAAATAGTTAAAGCATAGATTTTGTGCTCAAGCAAACTTTTTTATAATTCAAATTTTTACAAATCATATAAAATAATACAAATGTCAAATATAAACATTAAATATAGCTTTGACTTGAAGTCTTTTCAAAATTGTTTTTAAATCTTTGGCAAAATCAGCTTTATTTATCAGTTTTAAACTTAAACAAGACATAAAGCTTGAGCACAAAATTCATGCTTGAGCATTAGAATGGTTTCATGAATACGGGCTATATTACATATTATATTATTATATTATATCAATATTATATTATATATATATATATATATAGGCTATAAGCCTATATAGGCTATAAGCCTGTTGTCCAATTCCTTTTGTTAATACATGTATACTGTACTTTCTTTTGTAAATTCAATTATTGTATTGTATATGTATTGACAATAAAATATTTTGAAATAAGAAATTAATACTGGCCCTAAAAGATGTAAGAGGAATCGGAACTCGACACAGAAAGCATGGGAATGAGGAGAAAGACAAGAGTCAGCAATACAGATGTTAAGGCAAGCCCTGACTACACCACCTATTCTTGGTTATGCGGACTACGGTCTTCCATTCGAGTTACACACTGATGCATCTCAAGATGGACAGGGTGCCATTCTGTACCAGGAAAAAGAAGGTAATAGAAGATTATCGCCTATGCCAGCAGGGGTCTTATCAAAGCTGAACGTAACTTCCCTGTGCACCATCTGGAATTCTTGGCCTTGAAGTAGGCAGTTTCCAAAAAATTTAAGGACTACTTGTATGGAGCCAGGAAATTTACTGTACTGACCAACAACAATCTGTCAATGTACGTGCTAACCACAGCTAAACTAGATGCCACCGGATATAGTTGGTTTGCTGAACTATCGACATATAACTTCGACATACAGTATCAACCCTAAGCCAGCAATGTAGACACTGACACTTTGTCTCACTTGCCTGCAACGGAGTCTGAGCCTGGAATGGAGCCTATAGCTGTGATACCATCAAAGCTCTATGCGCATCCATCACTACAGAGCCTATCATCGGAAGCTGCAGTCTGTCTGCAATGATGCTGTAAATGCCTTAGAGCAATCCAATGAGCTGAGTTGGACTTTTGTGACTGATGTAAGTGACAGGAGCAGGATCCCATACTATTGGCTTGGATGTCAGCAGTGAAGAGAGGAGTTAAGCCTAAATGGAAGGATATTCCTCAGACACAGGAGAATGCAGCACTGTTGTTCAAGAACTTCTCCAGTTTTCATTTTAAGCATGGAGTCCTACATTGGGTAAAACTCTAGAGGGAACGCAGTCGGTGTCCGTTTACCAGGAGCGTGCCCTCCAGGAACTACATACTGATGCTGGACACCCACGAAGGAACCGAACCATGAGTCTGGTTAGGGATCATTTCTATTGGCCGAATATGTTCACTCATATAGAGAAATGGATTAGGAATTGTCTAAGATGTCTCTGGTGGAAGTCACCCCAGTGGACAGAACCCCCATGGTCAGCATTACATCTAGACAATCCATGGAATTAGTCTGCATGGACTATTTGTCATTGGAAACTTCAGTTGGAGGATATCAACACATTCTTGTAGTCACCGACCATTTCTCCAGGTATGCTGAAGCTTTTCCTACGAAGAATCAGACAGCCAAAACTACTGAAGATGTTTTTTTCCGAAACTTCATGGTCCACTATGGCTTCCCCCAGCGACTCCATTCCGATCAAGGTGCGAACTTTGTCCGAAAAGTTATTACAGAATTGTGTGCTTTGACTTGGATTGAAAAGTCTAAGACCTCCCCCTATCACCCTATGGGAAACGGCAAGACTGAATGATTTATTCATACCCCGTTGAACATGCTGGGGACTCTGGATATCGGCGTGACGATTTACCCAAATACACCCAAATATACCCAAATACACCAAAATCTTTCCCAAAATATACCCAAATACAGCCAAATCATAACCAAATATACCCTAGTATACCCAAATACATCCAAATAAAGTTGTTGAGCCTGAATGGAAACAGAAAGCGGTGTTCTTAGAGAAGCTAATTACTTGTGGTTGCCTGGTCAACCAGCAGACTTTGGTCCGAGTTAATAATTGCCTGTTGGACATTCTGTTAAATAATGAGTAGTTGCCTGTTATATATTTTTTTATATATATGATATCAAATGACTATTTTCTGCTTGTATTCTGCAGGGGAATGCCGGGAAATCATTCAACCTTGAGGGGGTGTATGTGGCAGAGACAGTCTGTCCAGGATTCCACACCAGCAATTATATCATCAAGTTGTTAACAATAAAGATTACTTCAGTAAGTTGGTTTTTTAATTAAAGTTATGGAAAGTAGAAGTTTTGTAAGTCGTGTTCAGTAAAGTAATTAATAAGTGTTATTAGTTTAGTCTGCATTAATTGTCTCATAAGTCCAGTCCTGTGCCATTCTCTATATTTGTGTTGTCAGTTGTGAAGTGCCATGTGCTTGTGTTCATGTCCTATGTCCTGTCACCTTTTACATGTGACCACATTCCTCAAACCAGTTTAACACCTGGTACATGCAGCTGGGGCAGTTACCACCCAGACTACTCACCTGGACACATCCAGCATATTCCATATCAGGTCAACTAGATCAGATAGCATTGATAGAGCTGTCCTACGACCACTTTTTATTTGTTATCTTTATTAATGATTTACCAGAAATTACAGATTCACCATCTCCCCTCTTCACAGACGACACCAAATTATACAGAGAAACTGAGGACAAGCAGGATATTGAGATTCTATAGGAAGATATTAACAAACTCAAAGATTGATCTTCAAGATGGCTTCTCAAATTTCATCCAAATAAATGTAAAAGTGATTTCTATTGAATAACAAAATAACTCTATTAGAAAGTACTCAATGCTTGACGCACTGGGAAAGAGAATAGAGCTAGAGAGCACAACATGTGAAAAAGATATTGGTGTAAACATAGATGAAGATCTAAATTTTAGGACACTTATTCAGTTAAATGTTAACAAAGCCAACAGTATAGTTGGTCTTATCAGATGAACTTTTACGTTTCCGGATGAAAATATGTTCAAACTTTTGTTTAAATCACTTGTTAGACTGCATTTAGAATATGCCTCCAGTGTATGGGATCCCTATATGAGCAAATATATTGATCTAATTGAATTGAGGCGTTCTACCATGATGACACCTGGCTTTAAAATCATGACACATACAGAGCACCTGCAGAGACTAAATTTGCCAACCCTGAAGCACTCGCATGCGAGGAGACCTAATACACGCGTTCAAGATTGTAAAAAAAACTTGTATGATCCCAGAGTGACTAGGAATATGTTTCAGCGCGATATTGGTAGTAGAACGAGAGGGCATATGCATAAACTTTTTGATAAACACTCCCACTTTGATATATACGGAAGTAAGTCTCCCTCATCAGGGACCTGCATCCATAATATTGTCACGTAGTCTATTTTAGGAATGTTTTAGCAAGTGTATATCTGTATGGATACGTCGTGAGTTATCTTATCGAGTGCCTGTGTTATTGTTTAACTTGGGACATGTGCGCGTACCGCTGTCAAGGTGAGTCGATCAACCGGTCGAGGACGAGTTATTTCCTGATTTCGGGTTTTTCCGCTTACCTGATGTGATATATACGTCTCTGCTGATACTTGCTACACAAGATGCTTGATGCACAGGATACCGCATGAGACAAGAGAGGTTACGAAACAAATGAGGTCAGACGATTAACACGATCGGGCAGGATCGGACAGAATAGTTATGTTTGTAATGTATGACGTATGACTGGAACTCTCCGGTCTCGAGAGGTAATAAGAGGAATTTGGCTAGCAGTCAGCATGGCGTCACGTTTTGAATATACAACATGGTGTCAGAACCTGAATCGGACAACATCGTCCACATGATAAAGGATCAACAGTATATTTCAATGTAAAAAGTTGAAAGAGACATAGAAGAATACAGAGAAATCAAAATGGATACAGGAAACACACAAGGAACGCCAAAAATGGATTGGGATGCGCCCGACCTCGTGGTGGCATGGGAAACATTTAAAAACCACGTTGACTTTTGGTTTAAAGGACCACTTTCAAAGAAAAACGAGGAAGAAAGATGCAACTACCTCATGATTTGGGTAGGAAACAAAGGTAGGGACATATATACCACATGGACACTGACAAATGATGAAAAAAAATCACTCACGGCATTAACTGAAAAGTTTGAAGCACATGTTCGTCCAAAAACAAACAAGATATTCTCTAGATACAAGTTCCAGTGTAGAACACAACGAGAAGGGGAAACATTTGAACAGTTTCTTACAGATTTACATTTGTTGGCCAGAGACTGTGCGTATCAGGAGAAAGATAATATGATTCGTGATGCAATTGTATTTGGCACGCTGGATCACAAAGTCCGAGAGAAATGTATCAACGAGGGTTCAGATTTAACCTTAGATACTGCAGTAAATTTTGCAAGAACTTGTGAGTTGTCAAAAACTCAGTTACAGAAAATGGAAAAATCGGTAAACGCGATCAAGAAAGACCAGAGTCAAAAGTGTAAACCGAATGCGTCGTCAGCGAAGTACTCGAACGCGCCGCCCAGATACAAGGGAGATCACTAACCGCAATGGTGACAAAACGTGCAGAAAGTGTGCGAGACAACATCCACCAAGGAATTGCCCTGCATTCGGAAAAAAATGCATGAAATGTGGCAAAATGAACCACTTCGCTACTGCATGTTTAGCAAAAGGTAAGAACAATCCTCAGAAAAACTGTAATGTGGTTGAAATTGATACAGAAGATGAACTTTTCGTCGGAATGATAAGTGAAAGTCTGGATGTAAACAATGTCGAGAATTCAGAGTGGGTAGAAACTGTAGTTGTCAACGAACACCCAGTAACATTTCAGTTAGATACAGAGGCCAAATGTAATGTGTTGTCGAGGAGACTGTATGAAAAGTTGAGCAACAAGCAACTACAGCCATGTAAAACACCGCTACGTTCATATTCAGGGCATCAGATAAAGTGTATCGGAACAACACATATGATGTGTTCCTATAAAAACAAGCCTGAACAGAAAGTACAGTTCTATGTTGTTGACATGAACGCTCAAGCAGTATTAGGAGCTTCTACTTGCCAGGAACTAGGTCTCATTAAACGGATACACTCAATACAAACTTCAGCAGGAAAAGTACCCGCAGGGATTGATGAAGGATTCGAGGACCTATTCTCAGGACTAGGATGCTTGCCAGGAGAGCACTCCATTAAGCTTGATAAATCTGTTACGCCAGTAGTACACCCCCCAAGGAGAGTACCTATATCGCTCAGAGATAAAGTCAAAGATGAACTGGACCGCATGGAGAACCTGGGAGTTATAGTAAAACAGGAAGAACCCACTGAATGGGTTAACTCCCTTGTGACAGTCCTGAAACCTAATGGGAAACTGAGGTTATGTATTGACCCGTGTGATCTGAATAGAGCTATACAACGAGAACATTTTCCACTCAAAACTATTGAGGAGGTGGTTTCAAGGATGCCCGGAGCTAAGATTTTCAGTAAATTAGATCTTACTTCAGGATTTTGGCAGTTAAAATTGGACGAGTACAGCTCAAAGTTGTGTACCTTTAACTCTCCAATTGGAAAGTACCGGTTCACCCGGCTGCCCTTTGGAGTCAAGTCAGCCCCCGAAGTATTTCAACGGGTAATAACAGAAATGGTATCAGACCTTGAAGGGACAGAAGCCATAGTTGATGATATATTGGTATGGGGAACCACCAAAGAGGAACATGATCACAGGCTACAGAGAGTGCTGGAACGGGCACGTGAGTACAATGTAAAACTTGGCCAAGACAAGTGTGTAATAGGTCAGACAGAGGTCACCTATGTGGGACATTTATTGACTAAGAATGGGGTGAAACCTGACCCCGAGAAGGTGAGAGCAGTACAAAATATGGAGAAACCAATCAATGTAAAAGAGCTCCAAACCCTAATGGGTTTCGTGCAGTACCTACATAAGTTTTTACCAAGACTAGCAGAGGTCAGTGCACCACTACGAAGTCTTCTTGAGAAAAAGACTGAATGGCATTGGGAGAAACAACAGGAAGAAGCGTTTCAAACTCTAATACAGATGGTTTCAGCTGCACCTGTACTACAGTTCTATGATAGCAGTAAACCACTTACCCTCTCAGTGGATGCCAGTAGCAAAGGGCTAGGTGCTGTTCTGGTACAAGAGGAAAAACCGGTCGCATATGCCTCGAGGGCACTCACCACTACACAGCAAAAATACTCACAAATAGAAAAAGAAACGTTGGCAATTCTGTTTGGTTGCGAGAAATTTCATGAATACGTGTATGGGCGACAAGTTACCGTGGAGTCAGACCACAGACCCCTACAGGCAATATTCAAAAAACCAATTCTACAAACACCTCCGAGGTTACAGAGATTGTTATTAGCTATGCAACGTTATGATGTGGAAGTCGTTTACAAGCCAGGAAAGCTCATGTTTTTAGCAGACCATCTGAGTCGTGCATACTTGAAAGAAACAAAAGAAGTTTTGGTTCCAGACTTACAGGTTAATGAAATTCATCTGACTGCATATTTACCTGTTTCACCAGAAAAATACAAACAACTCAAAGAGGCTACAGCTACAGATGATGAGTTACAGAAGTTACAGGATATTGTTCTGTACGGATGGCCAGACAACAAGGTGGACGTACCAGCTGAGCTACGTTCATATTGGACCTTTCGCGATGAAATATCGTGCATTGATGGGCTTATGTACAAATCTCATAAACTCGTAGTGCCCAGGTCTATGAAAAAAGAAATGTTGGACCTTATTCACTCTTCTCATCTTGGTGTAGTGAAATGTAAGAACAGAGCAAGGGACATACTGTTCTGGCTAGGCATGTCACGAGAAATTGAGGACCGAGTCAACTCGTGAGATATGTGCCAAGCATAATAACGCAAACCATAAGGAGCCAATGATCGCGACAGAGTTGCCCATTAGGCCATGGTCTAAAATAGGTGTGGACCTGTTTGACTACAATAATGAATCGTACCTACTGACCGTGGATTATTTTTCAAAATGGCCAGAAATTGTGAGACTTGAATCTACTACCGCAAAGTGTGTCATCAGTCACATGAAAAGTCAAATGGCAAAGTATGGTATACCTGATTTAGTAATCAGTGACAATGGACCCCAATTTGCTAGCTTTGAATTTAAACAGTTCTCACAGCAGTACCAGTTTGAACATGCTACTTCAAGTCCACATTATCCACAGTCAAATGGGCAAGCTGAGAGAACGGTTCAAACCGTCAAACGCTTACTGAAGAAATCAAATGACCCATATCTGGCCTTATTAGAATATCGGAACTCTAATATTGATGAAGTTGGACTTTCACCAGCTCAAATGTTCCTTGGAAGAAGATTGAAAACTACAATACCGACGTCATTACCATTACTCAAGGCTGAAGCATTTGATAAGGTGCGGGAACAACTGGTAAAACGCCAGAAAAAACAACAACAAAGTTATGATCGACATGCCAGTGGAGGTCTACAACCACTGAGCCCTGGAGACCAGGTCCTGTTACAACAACATCCAAATACATGTAGATCTGAATGGAAACATGGAACAGTAATTGAGAAACATAAGACCCCAAGGTCCTATGTAATCCGATCAGGAAATCGGGCATACCGGCGAAACCGCAGACATCTACGACCAACCAGGTCAAAGGCAGACTTGGACCAAGAACCAGCTGACCTTAATTTACATTGCTGGCCGCCCAGTAATCAACCGTCCAAGCAAACTTTGGCTACAAAAACATCCATCCAGGATAGCAATATGTCACAGGAAACCCGTCAGGCCATGCAAAACCAACTTCCACCTACATCAGTTTTGGATAGTCCACGCCTATCCAGTTCTGGAAGGATTATCAAAACGCCAGCAAGATTCAAAGACTTTGTTCAATAGATTTTGTGTTAACGAGTTTCAAGTTTAAAAGACAACTAGTTCAGTTAGTGTTTTAGTTTTGAAAGACTGGTTCAGTTAGGTTTCATACAAGACTCAATGTTCTTTTTCAGGTTAATAGTGAAATTATCTCATTGACATGGTTAATTGACTTTATATTACTCATAACATGTACATTAGTGTTTATTATAACTTCATGAGTAAATTTAGTAACTATCAATTCAATATTATGATAACAGTAAAGAAACAAATTTTACTTAAAATTCTTTACTTAAAAATGTGTATTTTCAGTTGATCAGAATAATGCTTTGGAAATGATCCAACTATTTTTCTATGAAAGGAAAGATGTAATGTATGACGTAATGTATGACTGGAACTCTCCGGTCTCGAGAGGTAATAAGAGGAATTTGGCTAGCAGTCAGCATGGCGTCACGTTTTGAATATACAACAATGTTTTAATGATTTTAACGAATTTTCAAACAACGTTAAATATCTCGAAATTTTTTATTTTTCAGAGTTCGTTCTTACTGTAGCTAATTTATAATTTTAAAGAGATTTTAAATATATTAAAAACAATATCAGTGCATTAATACCATCATATGTTAAACATTATGAACAATTTATAAGGAAAAATGAAGACGCATTACATAAAACACTCATGTCTGTATTGGCCGGAAAAAACCGAAAGACGATTTACAGGATCGGGCAGAATCTGACGGTTTATATGTAGAATCTGGGCATTAAATTGTTTTTATTGTAATAATTGTGGTGTTAAATGACCTTAGTTAGAATATTATAATTTCTTATTGATAAAAAAATGGCCAAAAAAGCTATTATGTTCTTTTCACATAACGTGATGTGCCGCACAGGACCGAAAGACGATTTACAGGATCGGATAGAATCGGGCAAAATCGAGTGGTGTAAAGGTAGAATTTGGGCATTAAATTGCTTTTAGTGTAATAATTGTGGTGTTAAATGATCTTAGTTATAATATTATAGTTTCACATTGATCAAAAACGGTCAAAAAATACTATTTCATATAATGCGAGTTTAAAATTCTATACGAATAAAAGAGGTCGGATTGTGATGGGAAATTCCACATAGCATGTATGTCCTAAAAAAAATAATTAATAATAAATAATTTGCAATATCTATATGTATGGTGCATTCCGCCTTGCAGGGATAAATCTAGACAATTTTTGTTTTACCACTTTTTACTTAACCAATTAATGTAATTATGAAAACCAAATATTGTAATTATGAAAACCCATTAGTGTAATTATGAAAACTCATTAGTGTAATTATGAAAAAGAAATATCAATCTAACTGTTACATTTTATTCATTTAATCTTCATGTATGTCATATAGATGGCTGTAACTCTTGCTTCTTTCCAAACATTTGGTATCTCTCCTCCTTCTAATGACTGATTAAAGATAATTTTCAGTGGCCTAATAATGACATCTTTTACTTCCTTTAGCAGCCTTGGGTGTAAATTGTCAGGACCCTGCGGTTTGTTTTAATTAAGATCCTTGATATTCTTCTCGATTTCTTCTTCTGTAACTTCCTGGTCCTCAAAACTTATCTTTATTGTCTTTCCTGGAAGTTTTGGAATCTCTGGCTCATTGGTGAATACACTTGTGAAGTATAGTCAACCAGCGTCTCTGCTTTTTCTTGGTCACTCTTTGCGACGTACTTAACTTTGTTGTTTTCCATGACATGAAGCTCCGCAATCCCAGATTTAGTCTTAGTTTTTGAATTTGCATACTTCCAGAAAGTCTTTGGGTTTGAATTCATCTTCTCAGCTGTTTCTTTCCATATCTTTCTTTGCATTTCGCACTAGTTTTTTCACTTTGTTCCTAGCTTTGGTGTAAAGTAGTCTAAATGTCATCAGCTTATACAGACCAAAGATCAGGTAAACCTGGTAAATTTTTTCATAGCTTACTTTTAATGTAATAAAATTATCAGCATTTATTGACATTATTCAATATTTCAAGATAAATAAAACTTCCGAGTCATGGACATCTTTTCATATTTCAATTTAGATGTGTAAAAACTGCTTCTGGCTTTTATCTTAAATTTTTTTAAGCACAATTTACCATCAACAACATCTATATGCTGCTAAAACTGCTCAGTTTCACTATTAACATCACAGTGACAGCAGAACCTTTATCTTTGTACCTGTCAGAAGATTTTTTTATTTATTCCTTGACCAAATCACATGGGCCAGTTTCAAAATGGAGCTAAATAACGCAGAAGACTGAGGTTTAAACACAGCACCCTCTGAACTGTAATGCCTGGTCATTGACAATCAACCAGTTCCACTATAGATGGTTCTATTATGCAAAACATTTCTAGAGCCTTATTGAAAGAAAGTGTAAAGAAAGATATACATATATGTAGTTATTATGAAATACTGTTACTGAGACAGACAAACAAATATATACATTGTTACAATACTATACATTCTATCACATTCGTTTATACATCTTGGATTAGCGCGGAAGGAAGTTTGTTACCGAACTGTTTTGCGGCAATGTTTACTTCCGTCGACTCACACACGTGTTTTTGACCGATGGCATCGGGAGGTTCCCCAGCCCTGAAGGAAAAAGAAAAAGTATACATGTTTGCATAAACTTACCATTTGACGGAAGTAAACATTGCCGCAAAGCAGTTCGGTCTTTGTCGTAATATCACAAGATGACTAAGTTGTAATAACAAGATAACAAAGTCGTAATTATGAGATAGTTAAGTCGTAAATACGAGATAACGTAATCGGAATTACGACAGAGTATGTCGTAAATACGAGATAACTAAGTCGTAATTACTAGATAATTATGTCGTAATATCGAGATAACTAAGTTGTAATTACGAGATGTTTTGTCGTAATTACGAGATGTTTAGTCGTAATTACGACATGCTAAGTCGTAATTACGACTTTAAAAAAATTTAACTCATGAAAAAATTGGCACTAACCGGCTCCCGTAAATGTATATATACATAAGTTAAGTTTCGTTACGTGTAATGATATAAGTATAGAGGTTTGCAATCTGCGTCAATTGTAAATCACATTAAAATACTGCGTAGGTATTGCTGTAGATCTGCATGGCCAGGGTAATCACATATAGGTTTTTGTTGGATTCCATTTTCAAAGAAATTTAATGCAGTTCTGTGTCTTTAGTTACATGGTACAGGTATGTATGGTGTTTGCATACCATTTTATTCATAATTTGAAAGTGCATGACTTTCACTACATGGTCCATCACGGTATGGTCTATCACGGTATGGTCTATCACTGTATGGTCTATCACTCTGTGGTCTATCACTGTATGGCCTCTGTCACTGTGTGGCCTATCACTGTATGGTCTGTATAGTCTATCACTGTGTGGCCTATCACTGTATGATCTGTATAGTCTATCACTGTATGGTCTATCACTGTGTAGTCTATATGGTCTATCACGGTATGGTCTATCACTGTGTGATCTATATGGTCTATCACTGTGTGGTCTATATGGTCTATCACTGTGTGGTCTATATGGTCTATCACTGTATGGTCTGTATAGTCTATCTGTATAGTCTATCACTGTGTGGCCTATCACTGTATGATCTGTATAGTCTATATGGTCTATCACTGTGTGGTCTATATGGTCTATCACTGTGTGGTCTATATGGTCTATCACTGTGTGGTCTATATGGTCTATCACTGTGTGGTCTAACTGTATGGTCTATCACTGTGTGGTCTATATGGTCTATCACTGTGTGGTCTAACTGTATGGTCTATCACTGTGTGGTCTATCACTGTGTGGTCTATCACTGTGTGACTATCACTGTGTGGTCTATCACTGTATGGTCTATCACTGTGTGGTCTATCACTGTGACTATCACTATGTGGTCTATCAGTGTTGTGGTCTATCACTGTATGGTCTATCACTGTGTGGTTTATATGGTCTATCACTGTGTGGTCTAACTGTATGGTCTATCACTGTGTGGTCTATCACTATATGGTCTAACTGTATGGTCTATATGGTCTATCACTGTATGGTCTATATGGTCTATCACTGTGTATAGTCTATCACTGTATGGTCTGTATAGTCTATCACTGTATTGTCTGTATAGTCTATCACTGTGTGGTCTATCACTGTATATCACTGTGTGTATCTATCACTGTATGGTCTATAGTCTACTGTATGTCTGTATGTCTATCACTGTCTATCTCTATATGGTCTATCACAGTGTGGTCTATCACTGTATGGTCTGTATAGTCTATCACTGTGTGGTCTATCACTGTATGGTCTGTATAGTCTATCACTGTATGGTCTGTATAGTCTATCACTGTATGGTCTGTATAGTCTATCACTGTGTGGTCTATCACTGTATGGTCTGTATAGTCTATCACTGTATGGTCTGTATAGTCTATCACTGTATGGTCTGTATAGTCTATCACTGTATGATCTGTATAGTCTATCACTGTGTGATCTATCACTGTATGGTCTGTATAGTCTATCACAGTTTGGTCTATCACTGTATGGTCTGTATGGTCTATCACTGTATGGTCTGTATAGTCTATCACTGTGTGGTCTATCACTGTATGGTCTGTATAGTCTATCACTGTGTGGTCTATCACTGTATAGTCTATCACAGTGTGGTCTATCACTGTATTGTCTGTATAGTCTATCATTGTGTGATCTATCACTGTATGGTCTGTATAGTCTATCACAGTTTGGTCTATCACTGTATGGTCTGTATAGTCTATCACTGTATGGTCTATCACTATGTGGTCTATCACTGTATGGTCTATCACTGTATGGCCTCTGTCACTGTGTGGCCTATCACTGTATGGTCTGTATAGTCTATCACTGTGTGGTCTGTATAGTCTATCACAGTGTGGTCTATCACTGTATGGTCTGTATAGTCTATCACTGTGTGGTCTATCACTGTATGGTCTGTATAGTCTATCACTGTATGGTCTGTATAGTCTATCACTGTGTGGTCTATCACTGTATGGTCTGTATAGTCTATCACTGTGTGGTCTATCACTGTGTGATCTATCACTGTATGGTCTGTATAGTCTATCACTGTATGGTCTGTATAGTCTATCACTGTGTGGTCTATCACTGTATGGTCTGTATAGTCTATCACTGTGTGGTCTATCACTGTATGGTCTGTATAGTCTATCACTGTGTGGTCTATCACTGTATAGTCTATCACTGTGTGATCTATCACTGTATGGTCTGTATAGTCTATCACAGTTTGGTCTATCACTGTATGGTCTGTATAGTCTATCACTGTATGGTCTATCACTGTATGGTCTGTATAGTCTATCACTGTATGGTCTATCACTATGTGGTCTATCACTGTTGTGGTCTATCACTGTATGGCCTCTGTCACTGTGTGGCCTATCACTGTATGGTCTGTATAGTCTATCACTGTGTGGTCTATCACTGTATGGTCTGTATAGTCTATCACTGTATGGTCTGTATAGTCTATCACTGTATTGTCTGTATAGTCTATCACTGTGTGGTCTATCACTGTATGGTCTATCACTGTATGGCCTCTGTCACTGTGTGGTCTATCACTGTATGGTCTGTATAGTCTATCACTGTGTGATCTATCACTGTATGGTCTGTATAGTCTATCACTGTATGGTCTGTATAGTCTATCACTGTGTGGTCTATCACTGTATGGTCTATCTATCACTGTGTGTCTATCACTGTATGGGTGGTCTATCACTGTATGTGTGATCTATCACTGTCTATCACAGTTTGGTCTATCACTGTATGGTCTGTATAGTCTATCACTGTGTGGTCTATCACTGTATGGTCTGTATAGTCTATCACTGTGTGGTCTGTATAGTCTATCACTGTGTGGTCTATCACTGTATGGTCTGTATAGTCTATCACTGTGTGGTCTATCACTGTATTGTCTGTATAGTCTATCACTGTGTGATCTATCACTGTATGGTCTGTATAGTCTATCACTGTATGGTCTATCACTATGTGGTCTATCACTGTTGTGGTCTATCACTGTATGGTCTATCACTGTATGGTCTGTATAGTCTATCACTGTATTGTCTGTATAGTCTATCACTGTGTGGTCTATCACTGCATGGTCTATCACTGTGTGGTCTATATGGTCTATCACAGTGTGGTCTATCACTGTATGGTCTGTATAGTCTATCACTGTGTGGTCTATCACTGTATGGTCTGTATAGTCTATCACTGTATGGTCTATCTATCACTGTGTGGTCTATCATGTATGGTCTGTATATCTATCACAGTATGGTATCACTGTGTGGTCTGTATAGTCTATCACTGTGTGGTCTATCACTGTATGGTCTATCACTGTATGGCCTCTGTCACTGTGTGGTCTATCACTGTATGGTCTGTATAGTCTATCACTGTGTGATCTATCACTGTATGGTCTGTATAGTCTATCACTGTGTGGTCTATCACTGTATTGTCTGTATAGTCTATCACTGTGTGATCTATCACTGTATGGTCTGTATAGTCTATCACTGTATGGTCTGTATAGTCTATCACTGTATGGTCTGTATAGTCTATCACTGTATGGTCTGTATAGTCTATCACTGTGTGGTCTATCACTGTATGGTCTATCACTGTATGGCCTGGTGGGCTATCACTGTATTGTCTGTATAGTCTATCATTGTGTGATCTATCACTGTATGGTCTGTATAGTCTATCACAGTTTGGGCTATCACTGTATGGTCTCTATAGTCTATCACTGTGTGGTCTATCACTGTATGTATAGTCTATCATGTATGGTGGTCTATCACTGTGTATGGTCTATCACTGTCTATCACTGTATGGTCTATCACTATGTGGTCTATCACTGTTGTGGTCTATCACTGTTTGGTCTATCACTGTATGGTCTATCACTGTGTGGTCTATCACTGTATGGTCTATCACTGTTCTATCACTGTTCTATCACTGTATGGTCTGTATAGTCTATCACTGTATGAAAGATATATCAGTGTTAATACAAATCTTCTGTGGTTTGTTGACGCAGGTAGCTACCCTTAGGATCATATCTAAATAAATTTAAATCAAATGTCTCTTTTATTCTTACATCGACATGTTATGAAGTCATAATTAACTATAGAACATCATAATAATGAGAGAAAACACTTCTGTATATATAATTTGTTTACTTGCATCAACCATACTTCATATGTACATTATACAGTAACAAAGTATTACAAAATACTACTCGGCAGGTAAGAATCATCAACCTTCTTTAAATTCATAAATCAAATGAACAATTCACGTGAATGTAAATCAATTAAGATTAACTGTTGTTATGTTATAACTACAAAAAATGTAAGGATTTAAAGCACTGTTATTTATATACATATATATATATAATTTTAATTCATTTGATGCCTTCAAATAAGTATGTTAATCATCCCAGTTCATACTTCTTTTCCTTCTCTTTTTGGTTATAGAATGATGAAACAAATTATGCATGTTTTCTATATTCATAAAGTGTTCAATATGTTCCTCCATACAATTTGCTGAGCTAGTAACAGAATACAAAGTCTGTTAATCCTTTTAAAAAGCTTTTAAATCCTATTGATGGATTTAGATTCAAAATTATCACACTTTTTGTACAGTGGAATGATTAAAAGCATTTGAAGGTGAAAAATACCAGCTTACAAGTCATTACCGGATATCAACAAGACTCTTCCTTGATATTACATGGGTTATGCTCACTTTCCCTCTCTATATAAAGGTGGCCTTTACAGACAGGTTTGACTGTAAGTAGGTAAGTGATAAATATTTCCAAACCCATATTGACTCTGCCACATACATATAGGAACATTTTATTTGAAACACCTTGACCAAATAAGGACCAGTATTCCTTGTAAAAGTTTTACAAAAATATAATTAGTGTCATTTTTATGATCACTTTAATAGTCTTAGGTATGAACCATGAGTTGCCTGGAATATAACATTACTGGTGATGTACTATGTTAAAATATCAACCTCTGTGTGAATAGGACTAACAGGCTTAATGATGAATGGAATGTTTCTTTTGGTACTGAAATATTGGCAAGTATGGACTTCAGTATAAATATTGCAAAAAGCTTTACTCCAACTGCTAGGGTTATATTGTATTATCTTATTTCCCTGGGCATTTTGCAGAATAAACTTTGCATATCATAAAATCATATATTTTTGTAGGGCTCAAATGTCATAGATTTAGAATAACATGCATTTTTGTTGGAACTTTGATTTCATAATTAAAACTTATTCACAAAATCTAATGATACTATAAATTATGCCAATTTCTACCTGTTCAGAATTTCTTTAAGACATAAATTTGTGATTAAGATTTACCATAAATTCAATAAAAAAAATTCTCCACGAAAATTGATAATTTCACCATAATAATTCAGATGGATTTTCTAGGCACTTAGTGAAAAAAAAACTACATAATACACGACAAAACAACAGAAATGTACACATTCAAAATTCATAAGTCATTTGTGATAGTCTTAATGAAAAAAAAATAACATTAAAATGATTATTTCTATATCATACTTGAAACAAAATTATCACTGTTATGCTAGCAACCAACTTGTTGGTTTGTCTACAAACTTTCGTAATTAAATCAAATGTCAACAACCTCCGATATCTGTCCATGACCTCCATAATCAAGAATGACAGGGTGTTTTAAATGGTCATTGATTCTATTGTATAGGTCTCACATCTATATATATGACTGTTTAGTTGATGGTCTATGTAATGTTTGAACCTTATTTCCACTATATTAGTTCCAAAATTGAATTTTATGCTCTAAAAAAAATCAAAGAAATATCGGATGATTCTAGCCTTTTTCCAATTGAGCAGGTCATGATATGGCCAATATCAGGTTGACCTGGCAAACTCAGGTGAGATAGCGACAATGTTAAGATTCACTACGCATTTCTCAATTGACCTGTAACACAGTATCAGCATACATATCGCAGTAAATATACTATAATTGTGTGACATCCTAAACAACAATAATATATTCAGCAGGAGAATAATGTTAAATTGATAACCAACTAACAAAGAGTCAGAAATTGTCTTCCCCACAGTACATAATAATATTTTCGATAAGTTTTTTTTTTTTCGTTTTTGAGGAAGGCCACAACACTTTGAAAATAGAATTTATAATAAAAAAAACATGATTATCAATTTCATGACTTCTGAAAAAAATTCAATTTTGGTAGAATTGTCAAAGATTGACATATGCCACTGCAAGGATACAAATGGCAAATGCATGAGGTGCTGACAAACTCTTAGCACAAGTCCCTGGCAGATGTATGCGGTGCTGACAAACTCTAAACACAAGTCCCTGGCAGATGTATGCGGTGCTGACAAATACTTAACACAAGTCCGTGGCAGATGTATGTGGCACTGACAAACACTTAACACAAGTCCGTGGCAGATGTATGCGGTGCTGACAAACTCTTAACACAAGTCCCTGGCAGATGTATGCGGTGCTGACAAACTCTAAACACAAGTCCCTGGCAGATGTATGCGGTGCTGACAAACTCTTAACACAAGTCCGTTGCAGATGTATGCGGTGCTGACAAACTCTAAACACAAGTCCCTGGTAGATATATGCAGTGCTGACATGCACTTAACACAAGTACAGTAGTCTATGACTATTTTTATACTTCCATATTTATGTGCACATGTTCAAGCTCAATAAAACTCATTACCTGCCACTGATGAATGCTTCTAAGATAAAAAATCCTGTCTGTACAAAATTATATATCAAAATTAGAATGAATATGGAACAATTAACATACAATAGATACAAAGGACCAGACAAATCTGTAGGAAGAATTAAAACTGTTTAATAGTTGACATGTTTCGGCATACTAGGTATACTGTCCTCTGAGGTCCTATAGGTATGTTTATACATCTCATTTTGTTTCATATAAAACAATAAGACTTTATTTATTTACATTCTTTATCACAAATTCTATACACAGATGACATCTGTTTGTTTTGTGTTCAAATTCAAAATGTGTTTCTAGTGGTCAGCATTATTTTTATATGAGAATTGCTTCAAAACTAAAGAGCTCCTGAGGAAAATCTCTATAAAGATCTCAATGTAGAGAGACAAAAAAAAGAACTTTTTTTTTTTGATAATCTGCATTAGGAACTGCATGCATTTTGCATTTGTCCATGTTGTCAATGTATTCAAGTGGTGCCACCCACTGCTTCTGGCACAATATTGATGTTTGGTTGAAAATACAAAAAAATCAATCAATCATTTACTTTGAAATACTAAACATATATATTATGATGGACCATCAATGCTAAATTCTAATATAGTCTCTTTGTAAAGATGATAAGATGCATAGTTTCAATACCAAAGCATAGAAAATTCATTCAACAGTATTTGATTTCAATATTCAAAAATAAAATGCTGCCGATTTATAAGATAATGCATAGATTTTTTAATGATACAGGTTTGTAAAAATAGATGTTGTATATCTGTTGTGGTTTGGCCCGCTAGGTCTTTGGTCATGATTAAATAAATATATTGATAGAATATTGGTTTTTCCATTATGTTTCTTACAAGCAAAATCAGTATTTCTTTATTGATAAAGATACTTATATATTCCAGCACTTTTAATCTAAAGGCAAACATGCAATTTGTAAGGTGTTTTAAACGGTCAACAAAGCAGAGTTTGTTTCATTGTGGTCTGGGAATGGTTTCGGTCGGTTTTGGTCTGAAGTGATAACGTTTTGTTAGTAGTGATGTTACCAGTGGAGTTTCTGCTTCATGTTTATAAACCATTAATTTATTGATTCTAGTCATCAGTTTTAATATATCCATGTCTTCTGATCCCTTCAAAACATGTGTGTTGAATGCCTCCACAACTGACGAGATGTATGGTGACATTTTACCCAGTTTCCACTGCCCTGTTTAAAAAAAACAAGACAAATATCATTAATTGTTAGTGTACTGTATTCCAGTACATGTTGCTTCTTTTTCCTGGATTTCGTCTTGTCTGCAATTAGTTAAATCAGTTCTTGTGTTGGGGTTCCACTATCCAGCTCTAAACACAAAAAATACTTGAAAAATAAGACCTTGTCAATGCATAAGTGTTACCTTTTTTGGATGATATCACAAAGGAACTGCAAGCTGACTTCCATTCCGGCATGTTTATATATGAAGTAAACTGTGTTTGCAGTGATTGTTGTCATCTGACTAAATTTATCAAGGTTAATTTATTAATTCTAGTCATCAGTTTCAATATATCTATGTCTTCTGATCCCTGTAAAACATGTGTGTTGAATGCCTTCACAACTGACGAGACGTATGGTGACGTTTTATCCTGTTTCCATTATTTTTTACGTTTTACCCTGTTTCCATAAATTAACCTTGATAAATTTAATCAGATTACAACAATCAGTGCAAACACAGTTTACTTCATATATAAACATGCCATGTATCACCTATGAGCACCCAGCTACCTAAATTCAGTATTGTTAACTGTTTGTTTTTGGTAGAAACAAAATAAATGTTATAACCTGACAGCAGTGTGAGTAGTGTATTTTCGATGTATCAATTAGCATAAAGTCTAAACATTACATTGATCCATTAAACATGTATATGTGGCGTTCTGTACATCATGCCATCTTCATCTTCCATGTTTCATTGCTTGGTGTTGTCCATGAATGAATTCAGTACAGCCAATCAGTTCCACAGCCATTTATTTTGAAGTATGAACTTAATATTATAGAATGGTCTTAAATGTCAATATTAACTTAATAAAAAATGAATGTCAAAAGAATGCAGAATGTGCTGTAAATGTTCATCAAGGTCTTAATTTTTTCACATAAAAACATTCATTTTCACCCGTAGTTAATCGCACCAACTTGCTCAAAGTTTATAGGTCAAAGGGCACAATGAACAAATAAAGTTAAACAGTAGTGAATGTTTCACAAATTCAGAAAACATTTGTAGAGAAATGTTAAAGCTTTGTGACATGATTTCAATACATGAAAATTACTTTAAGACAGCTGTATGGATTAAACTGAAGTAATATTTAAGATATATGATTACAATTATAATTACATAATAAGCAGTTTTATTGTAAACACACACTATATGAAGACCAAAAGTAGTTAAATGACTAACAAAATTTGCAGAGTTAGAAAACAAATCACATAACTGTCTCTCGATATGGATAACTTGAAAGACAACTATTGCATCAAAAATTATTCATCCTTTCTTTTCATGAAATAGCATATGTTAAGATTCAAGATGGTCAGCCAACCATTTGATTTTCACCTATCACTTCAAAATAGTTCACATAAAAACAAGGGGCACAAAAAATCATACATCGCCACTGGTGTTTATTGTGTTGACCATGAGTTATCTCCCTTATGGGAACTCTTGTATGTTTTCTGTTATTGTATTGACTCGGGCTGAGTAAAGATCGGTTCACCGAACTGTTAGACCTTCGTCCTATTAATTATTGGCGCATAACAAAGGTGATAAACTTTTGAATAGAAGACCATGGATGAATGTTGCATTGAACCAGTCAAACTGCCCAACCAGTTGATGAAAGTGGCTTAAAAATAAAACTTTTCTTTTTGCTAAAGTCAATAGCCCTATTTGTATGCGTACAAAATTCGGAGAAAAAAAAAAACATTTTCAACTGGTTGCCTAGAACAGTAAGGAAGCAATGATTTTTCTGACTAGTTGATACTTAAGATTTTATATAGTATACGTGTTAGTCTATTAGCAAGGGGAGAGAGAATAACTGATGGACGAGTTTTTTTGCGATGAGAAAGGAGTAGGTTTCTTTCTACCAAATAATGAAATAATCCAGAGCCTTACCATGATCATGGTCAGAAGAATATTGAGTGACAAAGTGACACTCCCGTGGAATTTTTCTAGTTTCCAGTTTTACTTGTGGCCTTGATCCTTCACCACCCTCTGATGCATGTATTTCTTCATAGTTGTTGTTGCCCTGTAAATATAAACATGTAACATAAACATTTTACTAAAGAAAACATTATTTTGATAACAATTCAATGAAAACTTTAATATGTAATCACATGTTATTAAAAAAAAACAACCTGTATATGTTAATATGTCAACCGATATAAAGGACATCTTAATCTTCAATAAAAATCATTGGGAGATTATCAAAAATACTTCAATTTATCAAAATAAAAAATTCTATGTATAACTATCTCAAAAGTAAATGTGGACAACAAAGAGTAACCACAACCTTTGAATATTAAATTCATGAGAGGTACTTTCCAGGAAACACTGATACCCAGTAATAATTTCTCAACATTAAATGCTTCACAGCCATGTTTGTTCCTTCAATCCATTAACTCATATAACATAAGAAAAATGTCTTCTTTAAATAATAGTGCTGTGATTACTAAAAAAACTTTTAATTTCAGTTGTTGTAACAGTTACGAATTAGGACCAACTAATTATAAACCATAAACAACGTATAAAAACAAATTTCCCTCTAAATAAAAAAGAAGACTTTTCATTCAGGAAAAAATCACCTCTCAAAGAGGAATTTTCCATTTAGGATAAATAGCAATATAAATACTAAGTTACCATGATGAAAAGGCTTTTCAATATTAAATGAAACAATGCTTGATGTAGGACCAAGAATTAGATTATATCCAGCTCACTAAAGAAAGCATTGTATCAGTTCTTTCATCCTCTGATAAGAGGTAGTTTTATCTTTTTAAAATTTTGATGGACATTGTCGTGTTGAGTTTGTGCATGGATCAAATCATCTGTGGACAGGGTCCTGACTTGATACAAACATGAAATATATAAATTTCCATTCAATATACCATTAACAAAATATTCATGATAATGGCTTACAGTAGTAAAGAAAAACAGCTCCTCCATAGGGAAAGTTTGATAACAAGATTTTTAAGATGGCAGACATGGCAGCCATCTTGAATGTCAAAATTCCTCATATTTAATGTATATCTTTGAACCATCCTCTACTCATTTGTGTAGCAATGAGAAGAATATGAACTATGAACTTAATAACATAATCATTCTTCCCTATAAAATACCTTCAGGAACAGACTATTTGATCACCAAAATAACCAAGATATTAAGTTAAACACTTTTCATTTGTACTGACACCAGATTATAAATAATCAATCATTCATTAAAAGTTCATTATAGAGCTGCTAAGTTTACCATGATGAAATAGATCTTTGGTTTTACTGCCAAACTCCTGCACTTGTCTCCTGTGAATGGTGCCTGAATTTGTTTCAGTTCACATCGTTCATCCTTTCCATTTTTACCAGGGCAAATGATAATGCCAGGCTCCCCAAATGACATTACCACACAAAGAAAACAGCCATAGTTTGTGTAATCCAGTTTAGCTTCTAAAAGTATACAAATTTTTATCATTTTAGCATAGAATTTCAGTATCCTACCATTATACATTTAGCCTGGCTACTGATGCATTTGTTCCAATATCAGAAGCTTTGCTCATGTCATCAACAAATAAAACCGGCTTAAAACTTTGATGCTACCAAAATATCAATGAGATTTTACCATTACTAGTACACTAATGAACCTGTCTGGCAATGAAGAAATTCTGTTTGGGTGTCAATTAGTTGTTATTTTCAACAAAATATATATTTCTTTTTATAAATACTACTGATATTTAATCAGATTCTTATATAACCATATTTAATATGGAAACTCTAGCAGTGTTGAATGCTTCTGTTTTAACTTTATCATAATTTAATCTAGGAAATCACAAGAAATGGAAATCCCAATAATTTAATAAAGTTTAAGATTACTGTTCTCTATTTCTGCAATCATTTCCTGTTTGGTCAAATTTAGCCGCGTAGCAATATCCTTGGATTTAAATCCCAAGCTCAACAACAATTTTTGAACTTCTGCAAGATCTTTGCCAGAATTTTCACGCTTTGTAGGTCTAGCATTAAGTCCATCTCCTTGAAAATCGTCATTGTTAATTATCAAGGCTCTTCCAACATGACTAACATCTTCTGGGTATGTCTTTGAATTAAACTCTTCTCTTGTTTGTGTGGGTTGATGATCACTACAAAACAAATTAATCTATGTTTATTATTTCCACAATTAAAAAAATATATTTCAGGATGAAACAAACAAGAGGCCCAAGGGGCTGCATGGTTCACCTGGCTAATTAAGCTATTCAGCCATTCAATTAAGAATTTCAAATATAACAAATAATTTTTGATATGATTTCTCTATTGAGTTTCGTTTTTGTGGTCAAACAGACGTCACTAGTCATAAAAATTGCTTCAAACCAAACTTAGACAATATCCTTGTATAGAAGAGGTTAAACATTCAGATAACCAATTAATGTCTGAAATATCGCCCATCACTACCCTACCATATGACAAAATGAAAAATCAAAGATGTGGTTTTCTCAACCTGAAGAAGAATTATTTAAGTTTAACCATAATTTCTCCTTTTGCCTCTCAGTCCCATAGAAGGAGGGTTCTCTTTAACTTCTCGTTGAGAATGTACGTTTAGTACTCCTACTCTATGTAGGTGCTTAATTAGACCAAATTCCATGCTGTAGTTCTTGAGAAAAATGGAAGAGTTGATGACAGACGGCTGACAACGGCCATAAACTCACATACTTTCTGATGGGAAACGTGAAAATAGTAAAGTTTGCTATTTGTAAGAATAACTAGTACATGTACATACCCCTGTGCTGAATCATCATGGATATTGGACATTTTTGTTGTTTCTAAAAAAAACAAGATAATTTAGGTTAATATTTCGGATAAACACTATATTTTGTAGTTTACAAAAATAAAAAATTACGTTAATATTTCGGATAAATACAATGTACCATATGACGTGCCGAGATGTACAGTACATACACATGTAGCTTATACAGATACAGAAAGCCACATCACCATCCAAATCACAATTAACCGTTATATCTAGTGACAAATATACCTATATACAATATATATTATAAATCCAAAAAGTATAACTGCTGAAATGATGATACTTACAACTGTTCGTTAAGTACTTTCTGTTTCGTTAAAGCAGGTATTTCAAGTGTTAACGAGTTCCGGGTTCAAGCATTTGTGTCATTCGCAGCGTACTACTAATGTCAGGAATTCCTGCCAATGAATGGCAGGAAAGTCAGGAAATCGCAGGAATGCATGTTAGTGGATTAAGTTTGTGTTTTATTAATTAAAATAAACAATTCTAAGTTAATTAAAGTATTTTACATGTTATTTTAATGTTTTACAGATTTTATTATATTTTAGATTGCACTTTGAGAACTAATGTGCAAGTCGTGATAAGTAGGCCTACTACTATAGTAAGTAATGGCGGCCGTCGATATTCATGGTAATATCGACACTTTATTGAAATGATTTTTGATGATCAAATATTTGAATTGATGTCAATGCAGGTGATCCTAGGAAGATGATATGGGGTTTATATAGATTTATTTGAATTTAATTATGTTTTCGTATTGTTTACCAAGATATAGATCTACAGCCAGTAGGCTACGGCAGTACGGTAATCCTGTCATTCATGACAATCGACTCGATCGACTGACCAAAGTTACGACAGGAACTTGAAAATGCCACGTTTTCCTCAAGTGAAGACACAAGAAAAAAACATTGTGGTCACCATATATGAATTTTCAACCTGATTTATCAAATGTGAAATAAGGAGCTAAATTTGAAAAAATAGTATTCCGGATAAACAACCGTAATCCGTTTTTAATGTGTTATAAAGCTAGTACGATTTCCGTTTTTACCGGATACCACGTGCAGAAGGTTTCTCGCTTCAGACACAACACAGACATGCAGCTACACTGTTGTAGCTGATCTTACTAGAGACGTAATTATTGGCAGTTTCTGTAAATGTTGTCTAATATAATTTGAGCGAGTGTGACATAAGGAGTGCATCTCTTAAACAAATGCTTGCAGTTAACATAGCTGAATAAGAAAAGGCAGTACTTATAGTTTAAAGGACTTGAGTTTGGTCATTGTATCAAGGTCTTGCATTTGGAACTTAACGTCCTTGTTCCGGAGGTCCGCTGCCATGGGATCTACGTTTATACTGAACTCAGATATGAAAATTGTATCAATGTGATTCACTTTACCTTACTTATACTATTGAAAGTCTCTGGGTACATGTGCATTATACTTAAGTTAAGGATACTATCTTCTGACTTTTCAATCTTTTCAGTGACTGAATAATTTTGGAGACTGCCTAAGGATTTCGCCATGGATGACATTGAGAAGGCGATTGGTTTTTTAACAGATGTAGAAAAAGGAACCTCTGCTGTCTGTCAACAGATCCAGTTGTTGTTAGATAAAGCCGAAAAGGGGGAACTTTGTACATCAAAGGTTTGTTTACTTTTAATTTAAGACATATCATTGAAAGATGCTATGGTTCAACAAGTCAAAACTGTAAATGCACTAATTTTAGTGATGAAATGTAATTTTATTGCTTTTCACGATGTACATGCTATTCTAAAACATGATAATGTTATCTTTAGTTTTAGTGTATTGATTATATATAAATTAGTCGTTGTGGTAATTCACTAAAAAAAAGGAATACAATGTGATGATTGGCTATTCAAATCACCCTTTGTCTGTATTCAGGGATGGCAACATGATTAAAAAAAATAGATAAATAAACAAGATGTATTTATGAAACATTCTGCCCCTATTTGCAAAAAATTCTGAAGTGAGGCGTTAAAAGTGTACTGTGTATGGCATGAGCTAACTGCATGCACACTTTCTGAAACACTTATGTTTTCATTTCATTACAAATGAATATCACCTAATTAATAAAAGATTTCGTTAAATCTTTGAAATCAAATTATGACACAATGAAATATTTTGACTTATGAATGACCTGTACAAGCAAGGAAAAAGTTCTGCAATGAATTTTCCTATTGCTTTGTGTCCATCAATAGAGAGTCATTGAAGGAAACAGAGTTCAGAAATGACAGGAAAAGAAGCTACGAAAAGCCTTATACTTGTAATGACAACTCATCATAAATATATATTTGTAACCAGGTTGCACATGGGTCTAAGAAAATGACGACTAGGACAACCAGGTCGGGTTTGTTCATTTATTGAGATTTAAAAGCCGCAATCCATATAATACAAGTAGTATCGGTATAAGTCGTATAAAGATTGAACCTGCAATACATAATTAAAAATACATGTCTTAACATAATGATAACAATACAAACCTACATCACTATCTATAGCACTATCTTATACATAGATTTACTTGTCAGTGGTAAATAACATACATTTGTACAATAAAACAAAAACAAGTATTACCCCTATACATCTCTTACCACAAGGGGAGATAATCCACTTGCCCAACTATAAAAAACACACATACAGATATATAGAAATTATCAAGATAGTGGATATGATCCATATCTACATTACATTGATCAAATATACAATTTACAACACGAATACTATGGAACAATAGAATTCACAGGCCGGCTGTTAATAGTACATAATCACATTTCACATATAAATTAAAGTACAATTGCCAAAATGTAAATTACACTAAAATAAGCCATTGTGCTTACCTCGACTATGGGTTGAGGATCATACGCCTTAACCCGATCTACTAGGATCAGTACAAAAAGGGTTTAGTTGCTGTATTCATCACATTATTACTGAAAGATCAAATAAAACATCTATCAGCAACTAATGCCAACAATAATATAAAAACACATTATCTGGTTTACTATTAGATAAATATACATTATTCCTATCCAATATTTTAATTAGAGTTACAATATTCTCTAAACCAAATTACATCAATATTTAAGTCATAAATTCAGTTACAAATTGAATTCAAGTACAGATCATAAGTTCATACATTCATTAATAAATTGAATCAAATAACTCTATACTTTAGAATATATTACATTGATAAAACAACAGATAGAGACTCACCATTTATAAAATTTGGGTTAAATCATATGTACCGAGAGATGAGAAACACACCTATCTCTAGCCAAAGCTCCTTTCCTTCTGCCCAAAACAATTTGGACAAAGAACTTTCCCTCCAAAACTATAGCCAATAAAATAAAAGGTCAGTTTAACAGTTCATATCAAAGGTCGCGTTAGTTATGAGCATTACTCACAAATACCATGCAGAAAAGACATGGACAGTACATGTAACACTGGACAATACATATAGACAGGTAGGTCACACGACCATACCTATATATCAAATATATATACACAGGTACTCTCTACAGGTAAGTGGGTAGCACTTTCCACCTGTATACTAACACCAGTACATGTACAAATATACCACCTGACCTGCATGTGCACTTATATAAAATACGTCAAATAATTAAAAAGAACATAATTATTTCATGTTATACAAATACCGTAAGTAAACTGAAAATAAAATACATTATTAAATTTGGTGAAATAGTTCACCTGGCCACATATTGAGGACTCATTCAAGGACTGAAACTCCATTCAAGAATTGAAAGTCTGCTACATTGTGTCCGAGGCAAAATACAATGTCAATCTGAACTCACACTCATGCACAGAATGTACTTCATACTGAAATAATGAGCATAATAGCAAATTGTTCAATAGGTGCACACGTTGGAGAGATGAATGGCATTATCCATCTCTCCATCCATCTGTCCACCCGTTCTAAACTTTTATTTGTTTTGAGATCTCCTCCAACAGTTTTCTTATTAATACTTGGTAGGATTAATCACCATGACATGAAGTTGTGTTTTCCTGAACAGCAGTTTGATTTGACTGTGTTTGAAAGTGTTATTGCCCTTTGTTTCCTTTTGATTTTTCCCACAGGATATCTTCTGATGAGTATTAGATCTGTATAACCATCGTAATTGCATTCCCTTTTACCACAGGGGCTGAGTTTCCTGGAGATGAAGTATCAGATGTTGCTAAGTTACCTTATCAACCTGACCTACATCCTGTTACAGAAGAGCAGAGGACAGTCGATTCAGACTGATCCTGCCATCTTCAGACTCACCGAGATACGCACGGTCTGTTCAATGCTTCTTGTCAAGATAAATACCACATACGTTTCAACATTAGATTAATATAAGACATATAGTATATGCACTACATGTGTATATATGTACAACCACATTGTACTTCTTAAAGATCTCTCTTTAAAGACACATGACACAGTTTGCAGAATAATAATGTTTAACTTTCAAAAATATGCTATGAACATGATCATGTATGGTCATTTTTAGCCTTTTCTTGTCTTTTGACATTTTGATGAGACATCTGTAGTTCCTTTACTAGTAAATATGAAAGGTCTGTCCTTAAACAATTCTTGCATTTACTATTCTTCGAGACGTACTGGATTGATCTTTCTTGTATTTTGTAAGTAGGTTGTCCTTGGTCCATATATGTGCCTTTTTAGCCTACCTTCATCAGGTGATGGGCTATTCAAATCGCTCTACGTTTGTCATATGTCGCCTGTCTGTCCATTGGTAAATAAATATTGTTATGGCTATTTCTTGAGAAGTTCAAAATAGATATTTCTCAACTGTCATATGTAGGTCACCCTCGGTACCTAGTTGTTCCTATTTCATTTTTGGGACTTATTATAAAAATAAAATGGTGAACAGTCAGTCATGTTCAATTTTGATAATAAAAGTTTGTTGTTGCTATTTCTTGAAAAGTACTGGATAAGTCCTAATCAAAATTTCAAATCTAGCTTCCCCTTACATCCATACTTTTGCCTTTTCTGATTTTGGGACCGATAAGAGAACAAATGGTTGACAAGTGGCTATTTTGGATTTTGACAATGAAAAATAATTATTGCTATTTCTTGAGGTCTAAAGTATTGGATAGACCATCATCAAATTTTATATGTTTATTCCATTTTGTCCCTAGTTGTACCCTTCTGATTTAAGAACTGATCAGAAAAATGGAATTGCAAAAAGTGGACTATTATGGGTTCCTCAAGATTATTATGATTACTTTTTCTTAGAGGAATTTTCAACTTCCATGTAATTAAGAGCAAAAGCAGAGGAAAGAAAAGAGAAAAAAAAATTTAAAGAGCAAATAAAGATCAAATGATGAAACATGCCAAGATCCCTTTTGGATCTCTTGTTAGTTTTGTGGGTGACAGACAGCGATCTTGGATTTTGACAATGAAAGCTTGTTACATATACATGCATATGCAAAAGGGCAGACATGATCATCTCAGAATTTGATAATGAAAGTTTGTTAGCACCATTTCTTAAAGAGTAGCAGATGGATCTTTCTCAAATATCATGTGAAAGATCCCCATTTGTCTCTTGTTGTGCCCTTTATATTTTGATCAGAAAAAAACAAATGGCTGGTTAATGGTCATTCAGGACTTTACTATGAATATTTGTTATCACTGTTTCTTGAGATAGGTAAAACTAATAAGAGCAGGTAGAGACAGGTAGAGGTTTATTGAATGTAGGATAATGAGTTCCTAGGCCCCACCATCTATACCCAAAGGTATGCAGGGTGATTGAAGGATAAAAAAGGAAATGTTAGAGGCATAGAGGTGGATCACATCAGTTGAAGAGGCTGTGTTCTTTAATATATTGTTGTCAACCAATTTCACCCTTGCTGGCTTCTCACAGATATACAAATATAAATCAAAGAACCCAGTCTCTTCGCCTGTTGTGATTCACCTCTATGTCTCAAATATTTCTTGAGATGTAACAAATGAATCCTGTTAAAGTTGTTAGTAGATTCCTCTTGGTCCCTAGAAGTATCTTTTAAATTATAGGCCGGTCAGAAAAAAATTCTTTGATACATTTTCTTACAAGAATGGATCAGCGGAGTAGTTAAAAATACAGCGCTCATTTGCATTAGTTCAGCATTCTAAAGAAAAATTTCTTGGAATATGACTTTCTTATATTTCATTCTACACTCTAAACAACAGTCCATTTTTAATACAGGTGCTGGAGAAATTGCGACCAATTGACCAGAAACTAAAATACCAAATTGATAAGCTCATCAGAACTGTCATTACTGGAGACACAGGTAAGTTTCTCAAAGGAACAGTCAGATAATGAAAATGTGGTAACGAGTATGACACAATATGGTAATGACTTGTTCCGATGTTTTACTGAAAAAGTTAGTAGCTGATTGCTTTAGTGTGAGTAGTTACATCACATAAGACATCTACATATTGATGACAAATATTGCAAAACTTAACAAAATTTTTTCAACAATCCTTAGAAGTATTTATGAGTGATCTCTTAATGTACTTTATTGTCTGGTAAAACTTCTCTAACAGTAGTACTGTAATCAACAGTGAATGTTTGTTATTTTTGACAGGTTTGGCTGATCCACTGAGATTCAAGGCCAATCCAGACAATCTCATTAACAAGGTAAATAGAATTAATTAATTAGTAATTAGACTGCTACAGATAAGTTACACTTTGAATCAGGTCAGTTTATCGGTAACTTGTATGACAAAACGAAATGGTAAAAAATATATGAAAAAAAAAGTTCTGTTTGTCTACTTCGTGAAAAATTGTTATAAAATGTATTGTTTAAAAACATATATCAAACTACAATGAAAATTGCCTAATCGATATCCTGCGTTTTTACTCCTTAGACAATACCCAATATGAATTATACTTCAGAAATCATTACACCTTTAGACGTTCGCTAGAAATCTTGTCTCCAGATATAAGTGCCAGGTGAAGTGCTGTATCACATCCAGCCCACTTGTCATGAGTTTTCACCGTTAATTCCATATAGTGCTGTGATTAGGACCAATTGAATATTCACTGTCAGATTAAATAGATTCCAACAGTTCAATGATACTCATATATAGAATGCTTTTATGTATGAGGGTTGTTTTCTCCACTTTTCATTAGTTGGAAGGTGAAGATTCAGAAGAAGACTCTAACTCTGATGAAGAGGAGAAGGAAAGAAAACCTCGTGCTTATGTACCACCAAAGCTTGCAGCTGTTCATTACGGTATATTTATGTTTCCAATCATATGATCTGTTAAAACTCTTAATGTTTCTAGATCATCTTTGTACTCACATGACAGAAGATATGTAGCAAAAGTCACATGACAGTTTAATATTAAAATGTCACTACATTGGCTCATTGTCATATTGTTTAACTTAAATGCTTATTTAGGACAACCAGCAGTAAAATCATGAAAATGAATGGCCGTGAATTAAAATGATTTTCATAATTGTTATTTGTTGTTTTATTAAAAATAACTTTAAACCTTGTTGGCCTTTTATCCTGTATCTTGGTTTGAAAGTCTAAGAAAAACTACCAAGATTAATCATTGGGAATTAGACCAATTTTCATAGCCAAAGTTTGTTGCTTTTTGAAAATAATGACTTGATATCTTGCGGCTACTGAAGTCTTAATCTTCAAGTACGACAATGTATACAGCTATAACACGTCTTGTTAAGATATTGTGAGATTCAGTGTCAAGGACAATTGATCCCCTTGATTAGTCGATTTGAAGGAGTTTGTGTTTAATTGATGAAACACTCATGAGAAGCTCTGCAGAATGTTAGAATTCCATGACTTGGTCATCTTAACATGAAGCAATGCTTTTAAGTAACTGATCAACTGTCACATTGCTGTCTAGACGAAAACACAAGACAGCTGATGGAATTGAAAGTTAGCTGGTGTAGTTCTCTGCATGTTGTATCATGTACTGTTGATTAGGCATTAACAGACATTCTGGTCTATGAACAGGTTACTACTGTGAATTGTTTGCTACTAGAATAACACATACTGTATGGACAAGGAGACGTTTTTGTTCTGGGAAGTGGATTTTTGAGGTCTGCTTCACTTTATCAGATAGTTTATATATATATATTTTTATCCCACTTTCTATGCAAAACATATTACTTATCTACATATAGATGGTGATGAGACAATAGAGGAAAAGAAGCAGCGCCACCTGGAGAAAGCTCAGAGGCGTGCAGCAAGTAGTAGTTTAGTAAGGGAGCTGGCACATCAGCTGACAGATGCACCAGAGGAAATACAGGTAAGATTGTTTTTTAAACAGCTATCTCTACGTAGATAAAGTTAAGACTGTTTTGTAATAAGAATTTCTATATAAAGGCAAGATTGATTTTTAATCAGCTTTCTCTATAGAAATGAAGTAAAGACTGTTTTGTAATAAGAATTTCTATATAAAGGTAAGATTGTTTTTTAAACAGCTATCTCTACGGAGATAAAGTTAAGACTGTTTTGTAATAAGAATTTCTATATAAAGGCAAGATTGATTTTTAATCAGAATATTTGTACAGAAATACAAGTAAGCTTGTTTTTTTATTAGAATATCTTTATCGAAATACAAGTAAGATTGTTTTAGTATCAGAATATAAAGAAATGCAGGTATGATTGTTTTGTTATAAGATGTCTGTAGAAATATGTTGTTGTCTTGTATTTAGACAAAAAAGAATATTTCGGACAAAAGAGTTGACTGTGAAAATTTTATCATTCATTTACTGTAGGAATGTTTTTTCTATGATATTTCTTATTTTTGGTCATGTCAATTTTATATGATGAATTACAGTTTCTATTAATATGATATGAACACATCATTCCTTTTGGTGAAACTTCTTTTCATAATTCCACAGGAATCTCGTGATCTGCACAGATTAAAAGCTGATAAGAGGGCCAAGGAAATCAAAGAGTAAGTGAAACATGTTATGACACAGTTGTATTCAACAATGACAATATCAAAACACATCACTTGATGATATAACACAGGTTACATGCAATCATAGGTAACAAATGATAGTTTGGTCAGTAACAAAAGGACAGACAGATAACAAATGACAGTTTGGTCTGTAACAAAAGGACAGAGAAATAACAAATTATAGTTTGATCAGTAACAAAAGGACAGACAGACAACAAATGATAGTTTAGTCAGTAACAAAAGGACAGACAGACAACAAATGATAGTTTAGTCAGTAACAAAAGGACAGACAGATAACAAATTATAGTTTAGTCAGTAACAAAACGACAGACAAATAACAAATTATAGTTTGATCAGTAACAAAAGGACAGACAAATAACAAATTATAGTTTGATCAGTAACAGACAACAAATGATAGTTTAGTCAGTAACAAAAGGACAGACAGATAACAAATTATAGTTTGATCAGTAACAAAAGGACAGACAGATAACAAATTATTATTTGATCAGTAACAAATTATAGTTTAGTCAGTAACAAAAGGACAGACAGATAACAAATGATACTTTAGTCAGTAACAAAAGGACAGACAGATAACAAATTATAGTTTAGTCAGTAACAAAAGGACAGACAGATAACAAATGATAGTTTAGTCAGTAACAAAAGGACAGACAGATAACAAATGATAGTTTGGTCAGTAACAAAAGGACAGACAGATAACAAATGATAGTTTAGTCAGTAACAAAAGGACAGACAGATAACAAATTATAGTTTAGTCAGTAACAAAAGGACAGACAAATAACAAATTAGAGTTTGATCAGTAACAAAAGGACAGGCAGACAACAAATGATAGTTTAGTCAGTAACAAAAGGACAGACAGATAACAAATTATAGTTTAGTCAGTAACAAAAGGACAGACAGATAACAAATTATAGTTTAGTCAGTAACAAAAGGACAGACAAATAACAAATGATAGTTGGATCAGTAACAAAAGGACAGATAGAGAATCATTTTTATGACAGATTCATGACAAAATAAAAAAAAACTCATATTCAAATTGTTTTTGGTTATAAAACTGACTTCTGATCAGATTTACAAATGAACTATTTTGTGATAATTAGGTTGATATAGTGTAGTCCTCTTCCTCTTTGATAACCATTATAGCTTACACTCACAGTCAATATATCTATCATAATAAAATAATATTTCATTTTATTTCAGATATGAAGAACAATTTTTCACTCGAGTGTCTGTATCGAAAAAGGAAAGGGTGTGTATTTCAGTAACGATTTGAATTGTGACCTTTTCAGCAAATTTATTCACAAGTTGATCTGGGGTTTTTTAAGCACTTTGTTAAAAGAGGTATCATTTTAAAATTCAAATTCTTAGTAGATGTCATAAAAAATTTTTTATCAAAAATGTGATATTGTAATTTGTCTCTATAGCAAGGTATGGAGATTCAGGAATGGTATTTTTTGCAAATTCATAAGGCATTTTAATTAAAGTGATTGCATTATTTGATATGTGAAACACTATAAGATAAACTTTCCTTCATATATTGGTACCATCACTTGTTGACACCTACATCAGCTGTCTTCAATAAAATGATTGTTTGGAACAGACTGTAACATGTTACATGATACAGATTACATGCTGCAAGACACAGGGTATCTGTGCATATAACATAAAACATAAGTCTATTGGTACATATCTCTCTGGTGTATAAATGTGAAAGATTGGATTAAGATGGTGTATTTAAATCAGCTTACAAAATGTTAAAACGGAGATATGATAAAATATTCACTACATGTTTTGTAAAGGAAAAAAGATTTTCTTAATTGTCGTTCAAATTTTGAACTGAAAGGTATATTCATACTTTTCAGAATGCATCACGAAGATTAAGCACCATGTCTTCCTTGAACAGTCTGACACAGTTTGATGACATCAGTGCATTGATGGGAGATAAAGATGATTTCACACATCAGGTATCTATTTTGTGTACAGTAAACTTTAATTCACATGCAAATCACTTACACAGTGTTTGCAGTCAAACCCAAAACACAAAACTTAATCATCGTAAATTAAAATATTGATAATAATGATAATTAATACATATTTTCATAGTACAACTTTGTTGATCAGTAATTCAAATTTATCTAACATGCCAGGTGTACATACAATGTAAAACTTACGAATATTTGGTAAATCTGTTAATTTCAGTGTTCAGAATGATTTCTTCTCTTGAGTGTTAACACTAAGATGGCAATCACTAATTCAATGACTGCTTCCCATATGAAAACATAAAGGCTTTTAAATAATTGTGTTTGACCTTTGGATTGTTTTCAGTTGGGCTGAAATTGTGAAAGAAAGTTGGATTACAATAATATGTTTGTACCAATTTGTTTTAAAATAAAAATAGGTAAAGCGAACATATTTTAAGCACATTGACTTAATGTTATGATTGGCTATAAATTATGGGAATATTTCATTACACTAAATTGCATGTTATTATACACTGTAATAAATCAAATTTTATTCAATTATTAAAATTATTACAGAAACAGAATATATCTTTAATTACAAAAAATATTTTTTTTTTAGGATGGTCCCTCAAGAAAGAAGCAGAAATTAAGTGGCAAGGTACATTTATCTTCGTATATTCGTCTGTTGAATGTACAAAACATTTATAAAGAAAATTTTCTGAATTCTATAATCACAGGGACATATTTAGTGTTCTCTTTGATGACAATTTTGAAAAACATCCCTGATGAAAACAATGCATATTCTTATACTGTGTTATCCTAATTGTCAACCATTATACCCTGAATGTACAATAAATACATAGGCTGAACATTTACTGTGTAGATAACATTGTAATAACTAACTTTTATTGATTGTTTTACAGGGCAAGAAAGGAAAGAAAGGTATTTATTTAAATGGTCATTAAATTTATTGAAGTAGAATGCTTTGAAAATCCAAACCAAAACTTTATTTTGAAGTTTGAGTTTGGACGCATAACTCTATGACATATTTACAAAATATTGGTGTGATATTTTCCTGAATTTTGCTTTGTTGCAAGTTATATTTTAACCAATTAAGGAATTTTTCTGAAATTTTCAGTATTCAAAGCAAATATAAATCTTAGAGCAAATAATTTCCATGTGAATTAGGTGTCTAATTTAGCCAAAAGCTGCATAGTCTTTTCAATATACATCATGGTCTGGCTGAATGTTTTTGAAAAAAAAAAAACTGAACTTTTTATAGGTTGCATCAATATGTGATATACCCATGCATATCAAAGGCTTCAAATGGATTAGTTTGTATCAATAATTATTGAGACAGTAATGTGGAGTTTATGAATAATAGAATTGAATATAAGGCCAAAATAGAAATATACTTGGTTTGGCATAATCTGCTGAACCCAGAAAAATTGCACTGACTCAAAACATTTTACCGCCAAATGACAATGAAATTTTCTTCATTTGAAAACTGAAATATCAACTGTTTTTAATACTTCTTTTCGGAGGCAATTTTACAAATTTAAAAATTACATCTTTCAAATGCTTGAATGAGACTACAAGAGTGATTGATTCAAGCACCTTTGTGAGTTACAGTGTTTTGGCAGACTGAAAATGTTGGCCTAAAAAGCAGTCTACATGATGTTATATGACAGAACTGATAAACCTGTTCCTTTCTGTGTCCTATGTTTTCCATAATTGTAAAGAAATTTAAACATTAGTAAATGAAATGCCTCCTCCAATGGACCCCTAACCTGTATGGAAACTTCTGCATGCAATACTGTCCGGTTTTGAAACCAGTACTTTTTTTGTTTTTTTTTAATGGACATTAATATATTCATGAAATAATTAAGTGACCCAATGAACACATCCAGAAATAATTCTAATGAGTGTTTTAGACTCATTGTCATAGCAATACCATGTACATTTAATAATATACATTTGTTGTAAAATAGTTGGGGGAGTGATCTGGACTCTTCCTACTTACCCATTCTGAACACTCCTTGGTCAGGTTACAACACACCAAGATCATTTTATTGGTGGCCTAATTGAACATATTCAATTTAACTCAGTGTCATTATTTGCAGAATCAATTTAAGTAGATGTATTATTGAAGAGAGAACTTTTTTTTTGTGTTGCATTTGACTCTGTTAGAACCTGTATTTAGAGATTTTGACAATACCATGACAAACATTATGTATTCATAAAAACAGACATAAATCCATCAAAAAGAATAGATTACAGTTTCACTTTTTCTTTTGTTTCGAGTTTGATTTTTACAGGAAGGACCAAGATAGTTGGAAATTCAATATGTCCACCATTTCGGAAAACACATTTTAAACTTCTTTTCAATAACCACCAGTGTGGATTCAGCTCAAACTTGCTTGAAATTATCCCAATATGACCTGGATCAATTGCTGTGGTATTTTGGGGGTTGGTCAGAAATCCAGTACAGCTGCCATGGACACATTTAAAGCTTCTTTTCCAGTTGCACTGGTACCATTGAGCTGAAAATTGGTAGCAGAGTTGAGAAACTGAAATAAACTGAATCATTGTTTTGATTACCTTTACTGCAAGGACACCGTAAATGTTTGAATCTAACAGCTGGCAATCTTCAGATCTATACCAGTAATATCATTATAATTGGGGTTTGCCTGTTATATATGGACTTTTACAGTAAAATTTATTATTCCTCATAAAGAATTGTTCATTTGTATTTCAGGTGGTTTCAAGAAGAAAAAACGAAAGTTTTAAAGACCCATTATGGAAAGTTAAATTGTATTTGTCAATAAACAGATTAATTATTCTATTGCTGTTTTGATTTTATGTTAACTTGAGGTAAAATGTACATCTGCAGACCAAACTATGTATCAACACCAAAAGTTAATGTCACCTGAGACAAACTCTCTTTTCAAGCATTGTGCGTCTGTAAACATGTCATAATTTTGACTTCTCAAAAAGCACTGAACCAATTTCAATAAAAAAATGTGTAGATGGCCAAAGATGAACAAAAATTGTGGATAATATGGTCCCCTCTCCCAGGAGCCAGATGGGCGGGCCAAAAACGGGTTGAATTGACGAAAGTTTCAAAAATCTTCTTTTCAACACCCAGATATGGTATAAGCAATTGCTTTTTATGGATCAAAGAGTCTTAAGTTTGTATACCAAAGTTGTGAACTTCATGACCTCAGGGTCTCGCATTTCCCCTCTAGGGAGGGGGTAAAGTTTATTATAGTTTTTAGGAAAAGTACATGTTTATTTTCCATTTTATATTATTCAACTTTTTGACAGTTTGATGGTATTCCTATATTGGGGAGGGTTCACCTTTCCAACCACGTGGGTTTTGCTTTTCCCTTGCCTCTCTCTTTCCGCTCACAGTAAGAAACCCGGTGATTCCATGTGAGCCAATGAGAGTGGTTAATATAAGCTGATAGCTTGCTCACTATTGTTAACGTAAAAAAATAGTTTATACATAAGCATTTAGTTGCAGCCTTCTTCAATCTGGAAAATGCTTATGGTACAGCATGAGAATACAGCATTTTGAAAGATCTGCAAGACCTAGGTAATAAATCTGATTAGTATGAAATAGAATGGGTAATGTACTCGCCTTTCACTTAGACATCCGGGGTTCGAATTCCCAAGTGGATGTGGAAATGTGTGGAATTCACCTGCCCGACCACATGGGATTTTCACGGGTATTCCGTGTTCTCCCACGGTAAGACCCGTCACGCGTTTGTTAAAATAAGGTCAATGGAACACTTTGTGATGTGTATGGACAGGAAATGAGTGTAACACAGGGAAGCATTCCCTCTGTTACACTTTTTGGCTTGAAATAATCAGGATTGTTAAAATGCTATCCCATTTTATTTATTTGAACAGTGTCCCAGACTGACAGCGATGCTGATAGATAGTTTTGTCAACACTTTACAGGCGTAGCTAGCCCAGTAGAAATATGTAAGCCTAGGCGAGGGGCCTTAGGAAAATGAATTTCATGATTTCAAAGATGTTTTGAATCGTTTTCCGAGACATTTTTTTAGTTATTTATTTATTCAACAACAAACTTCAACTCTTGACTAAATAAAAGCTAACTTTCTGTTCTTTTGGTTCGCGAAAATGTCCATGACAACTTCCGTATCTTGGTTACATGTACCTTCGGTCTTGGATGTGTTACTTTTAGTGTGGTCACTCTATTCGACTTTATTTTGTTTAAAAACTTGTCGATCGACGTCTGTAATCCAGAAGTCTTCTTTATTTTGAAAATTTACTCTTTAATAGCATTATAATCGGAAACGTTGAAATGATAGTAAGAAGTAGAATAGTATGACGTTTATAAAGTTCCGGAAAGCATTGCACTAGGCCTAGTTATTCAACAATTTTCTATTTATATCTTTTAATTATCAAAAATATTAAATATTTATTTTCAACCTTAGTTTTGTAATTTTGTCCGACATACTCTATGCACGGATTTTTTATGTGTAAGCCCGGGCTTTTTCTTTCTATGGAAGCTACGCCCCTGGTATGGTTTCTCTAGAATGGTTAGATTGACACGTTTATCGTCTCCGCGTCTCTTCCTGTATCCGGGTATCATCTCACCAACGAATGTCAGTGTTCTCGCGATGTGCTGGTCGTCTAGAAATCATATGCCGGATTATTACATACTGTCAGCAGGGTCCGAGATTGGTGCTTAGTGACTACATAAACGTCAACAAACCATCACTGTGTAATTGTCGAGGTAGACAGTCAGTGCATCATATACATGTATTTCAGATAAATCAAATTCTCCAACTCGGGTTTTTCACTTTCTTTTAATCCAAATTATAAATTAAGTTTGCACCATCATTTGTTAAATTGTGACCTTTTACCCATTTTTGAAATTCGTCCAATACGTTTAAAGGCATATTCCGTACAAGTCAGTATTTCATAGGATGATTTTGAAATAAACTACAAAATCATCTACTTACGATCTTTTTATGGAAATCGTACACCTCAATTTACCATTTCAACAAACATATGATATTTGATTTCCGGAAATTCTTCACAGATCTAGCGAGATCGATTTACAAGCGTTTGCGCGGCCCTGATTGCGTCATAACAGATTTGCATTATAAGCCGAACAGAAAGAAATATTTGTGTAAATTATAAACAGAAAATAAGTCTAATAGAGAAATATGATTGTAGTCCTAGCAGAAATTTTCGTGAACAGCATATACACATGTGTATTTATCCATTAATTTGCATAAATCAATGCTCAAGTGACCTTTCAGTTCCCGATTTCCCGATGCTCTATATTTAGAGTGTTTGACTGCGAGTATTCCTACCTATTCCGCCTGTTCAAACTGACCATAGGAATGATACTTTGATGCTAACAATAGTTGTACATGTCATTAGAATGAGATAAGGTACAGAACAGCCAGACATTTTTATTCTTTTGGTCATTTTTTGCAAGAATGACTTCTGTGCTGATTGGCCGTTCAGAATATAATTAAAATAAGCTTATATATATATATATAAAATATATCATGATGTTAATGACCGTAGCGACTAAACAAATGATCTGAGTACACCATGACTGAATTTGATGATCTGACCACACAGATACATTGTACAAGGTTTACTTGCAGAAATATACGCTATCAAAATCCTAGCTTCGTTGTCTATTTCTCGAAGCCCGCCATTTTCGAAAAAAGTCAGTATTGCAAGGCTTTTAAACGAAAGTGTCGAATCCAGAAAATTATCGACTTTTTTTCTTTACATAGGGAGCTAATAGTTTCTACCATATTACTTATAGGGTAGGTGGTCCATGATTCACAGTACCGCAGCCAAACAAAGAAACGCGTCATCGATCTCGGTTACGGTTAGGGGTTCAATGCTCAGACTGACCACTTTTCATTATATCCTAACACCATCATTATTTCTTAAGAAGTACATGATGGATCTTTCTCAAAGTTGTGTCCATTTAATTTTGGGACGGATCAGAAAAACAAAATGGCCGACTAGCAGCCATCTTGGATTTTTCAATGAAGTTTTTTATCGCTATTTATTAAGAAGTACTGGATGGAGTTCTCTCAAATTTCATACGTAGGTTCCCCCTGGTATCTAGTTGTTCCCATGCTATTTCGGGATTGATCAGAAAAACAAAATGGCCGACAGGTGGCCATCTTAGATTTTTACTTTGAAAGTTTGTTATCGCTATTTCTTAAGAAGTGTTAGATTGATATCGCTTTAATTTCATATGTAAGTTCCACTTTGTCCCTTGTGTCCATTTAATTTTGGGCCTGATCAGAAAAAACAAAATAGCCAATAGACAGTCATCTTGGATTCTGGCTTTGCAAGTTTGTTATCGCTATCTTTTGTAGCGGGTGGGTTCAGAGTTTTTCATTCTTTAACAAAAGTCGTTTCTCAGCACACAATTTCGCTTAGACGCTTAGAAAATACATTCTCATTAATATGTAAACACTTTTCAACGTTAAACCTTTGATAAGTATGGAACAAAGCAAGCAACTGGTATACATTGTATATATGGTACGCACCACAATGTTATATGTTATTGTCTAAGTAACCTGTTGTCCTCATCTTGTGTAAAATTCTAATTTAGTGTTTATAAGAAAGTAACGGGACATTCGTTTCTCCCAGTGATAGTGTCACTGGAAGAAGTGTCTATGAGTGGATTTGTTTTCATTCGGACGTTTTTTGCTCCCAATCTTACTGGCGCTAAGCCTTGAAATTGTATGCATGGAACTGGATAGTCCGTTGTCAACTTAACGTGACCGTGTCACAAAAGACACAAATAAGTGTTTTTCACTACGAAGTAAGAATTAGATACAGCGAAGCCAACTGCTATGCTCTATACAGTTGTCCTGGAAACACTAAGATGCGATTGAGGAAAATTGAAATTGGTAGAATTGCCAAACACAAGACTGTGAGGTGCACTCACCTGATAATTCAATAGACTAAGTAGTTTTCAATACGAAATACACAAGAACGTCGGATAATGTAAACGTCGCAATATCAGTTTGACCAAATTACCACAATTACAACTTCGCAAATAAGTGTTGACCTACACAAATTGTAATTATAGTAATCATATTTTAAGGCAATATGTTATCAAAATAGGAATACCGCTAAAATATGTACGTTATCAGTGATATCTTAATTCTGGACTATGCCACTGTTCATATTTTTTTTTTATTTGATTACCAATATCACTGATGAACGTATGTTTATACAGTTATCTTATCTTGTGATATTACCTGATAAAATAAAGCTGATTTCTGTGAATAATACAATCACACTATTTGTATAACGCATGTGTAAACTTTAACAGATAATTTTTAATGGTGTCTCTAACATCAATACATATCAGGCTCAGATATGTTCATATCGATATGCGAGCTCTTGATTGTACCTGTCAGGTTCATTAATAGACTAAAGATTTATTTGTGTGCAGTAACAACCAATATTTCCCCCAGTTACATCAAAACAATCATTTTCTTTCGGAACCAAAATTTCACATTTAACCAAATTTGTTATTTCGAAAGTTTAAAACATTGTAGCGATTTATGAAACACATTGATGGAATTAATCAATTTAGTCTTTACGCGACACAAGTCATTGACACAATCATTGATGTCATATGACGTGAAAATAAAGCTACTGAAAAATTACTTAACTGTGACCGTTTTTGAGAGTTTTGTTTTCTTCTCGACTGGTTCTTAAAACCTTATACTGATTAAACGGGGACAGCTGCGAACACTAAAGAGCTACAAAGTGTAAAATTGGCGTGTTTTGTTAGAACTTCTGGAGTTAC